GCTGTACCTGAGTAACAACGGAGATTTAATCTTCTAAAAAGGCAAAAGAAAAGGCTTTTTATCAGGAATAACTTACCTGCAAAACTAAGCATCCTTTTACAGAGGAGAAAAATGGGCCTTGAAAGAGAACTTTCAAGCATTCCTGATGAAAAGATAAATTGCACAAGAAACGAGAAACCAGAAAAGTACATCTGAGCGTTTGGAAGTGGCATACTCACAGAAGAGATGAGCCTGTCTTGTGGATCCCACTGTCTTTAGAGGTCATGGAGGCAATAGCAAAAGAAAAAGACAGGGTCTGGGAGTGGTTTTTGTTCTTTCTACTTGGTTTTAAGAAAGGAAAGAAGGGGGGGGAGGAAGGAATACACTAAGGGGGAAATGAGGAAGAAGGGGAAGGAAGTGACTTTTGCATTATTGAAGTATATGAGAAGAACGATAAAGATAAGCACAGAGTGTGAGAGGACCAGGCATCTCATGAACCTCATGCTTACCTGATGGGGGCCAATGAGGGTTTATCACAAACACTGTTTGGTGTAGAACTACATCACATTCAAGAGGAAAATGGGCTGGGACAAGAAAAAGGAAGGAGTGGGTTAAGAGAGGGTAACTGGAGAGGGAATAATCAGTATGGCAAACCGAAAGTAGGTCATTAAAGTGGATTAAAAAAAGAGAGCGGAAGAACCAGCCACCAAGAGAAGCAGAGGAGTGGCATCGAGACCATTTTAGTGATAGCTTACTAGGATTGATCCAATCCCTTCTCCTTCACCACCATTTCTCTTTGTAAAGAGGGGGTCAGTGAGGCAGCTATGTGGCGCAGTGGATAGAGCACCGGCCCTGGATTCAGGAGGACCTGAGTTCAAATGCGGCCTCAGACACATAACACTTACTGTGTGACCCTGGGCGAGTCACTTAACCCCATTGCTTCATCAGAAAACAACCACCACCACCACAAAGATAAAGAGAGGTTGAGAAGCAAAGAGAAGAAGAGGTATGAGAGGTTTGATGCAGGGGAAAACAATCCTTGCAAAGAATGTGGATGGAATAAACTCATCTGTCAAAAGGAATGCATAGCAGAATGGATCAAAAACCATGTTACTAAGAAACACTCAGAGAATCACACAGTGTTGGAGCTGAATTTATTATGCTTCGGGTGAATTTTAAAAAGCAGAGAGTGACAATTATGATCTCGGACAAGAGTTAAAATAGACATGGTTAATAGAGATAATAAGCAGGGAAGCTTCATTATGTTTAAAGGTTTGGCAAGTAAAAAAATATCAATAATTTATATGCACTACATGACATATCTAAGTCAGAGGTGGGGAACCAGTGCCAGACTTCACAGAACAAATCCCCGTGGTAAATTTTGTTCTAATGAAATATTTGTTCTGTAAAACTTGGACTCAGTCAAAAGGCCACACCCAAGGACCTAGAAGGCCACATGTGGCCTCAAGGCCGCAGATTCACCACCCCTAAGTACTCAAAGGAAAAATTAACTAAATGACTACAAAATTATATAGTTGCAGACTTCAGTGTGACCCTTGCAGATCTGGACACATCTAACAAAAAGATAAAGTTAAGGACTTGAATAGAATTTTTAAAAATTGGATGTTATTTATTGATCCTTGGCAATTACTGAATGAAAATAGAATTATACATATCACTCAGCTGTACATGGCACACTTACAAAAATCAAACGTTCTATGGCATTAAAAAAACAAACAAAACTCAAATCTAGAGAAGCAGAAGTATTTTAAGTAGATTTTTATTTTTATTTTTTGTTTTTATATCACCTACATTTCCTCCTACATGCCTTCCCTCCCTCCACTCAGAGAGCCATCCCTTACAAAAAAGAATTTCTTTTAAAAGAAAAAAAATTCACAAAAACACATTTTTAAAAAATGATGTTATATGTAATATCCCACACCTGTGCCCCTTTCCTACAAAAGGGCCAGGGGGGAATGTGTCTTTTTGTATTTTTTTTTGAGACTATTTGGAGCGATATCTAACCTATCACTCCTATACAAATTAGGAGAGTTTTTCCTTAAAGGGTACTGAAACCATCCCCCAAGATTTAATTGGTTCAGGGGACTAAAGGCTAAGGCTGTCGATATCACCTGGTCACTTAGGTACAACAGCTGTGAAGAGCTGTAGGAGCTGGAGGGCATCATAGGCAACTCAGAAGGGGAGCTTCACTCAAGAGGAATCAGCCTTTTGTTAACCATGAATAGCCTGGGAATGTTTTCTGTCATTCCATTATCACAAAAACTACTCGGGGACTGGCCTGAGGAAAGAGCCAAGCACAGTCTTTTTAACTGTTTGTTTCAAGATTGTTCCTTCCATTTATTGTAGTCATTGTGTATATTGTTTTCCTGGCTCTGCTTACTTCATTTTGCATCAGTTCACATAAGTGTCTTATGATACATTAATACTTTATTGCATTCATGAACTACAGTTTACATAGCCATTCCCCACTTCATGGGCATCTACTTTGTTTCCAGTTCTTTAACACAAAAAGTGCTGATATAAATATTTACTGTACATGGAGCCCTTTTTAAGCCACTATTTGCATACTTCCAAATTGAAAAAATGAAGCATCAGACATTCTTTACTCTCCCATAACAAAAAAAAATATAATCAATAAAGAGCATTTGAAGAAAGGAGTCAAAATTAAATGAAGACTAATTAATCCTAAAGGGTAAGTGGATCAAAAAACAAATCATGAAAACAACAGCTAATTTCATAAAACGGAAATAATGAAACAACATATGAAGACTTTCAGGAAGCAGCCCCAATATAGTCCTTGGGGAGAAGTTTATATCTTGAAACACTTATTATCAACAAAAGACAAATAATAGATCAGTGATATGGGCATGCAACTTTTTAAAAAACCAGAAAAGCAACAAATCATAAAATCTCAACTAAGTATAAAAATAAAAATTCTGAAAATAAAAAATGGTGGGGAAATGAGATAAAAACGTGTTGAGTTGATAAATGGGCCAGGAACTAGTATTTTGAAAAAACAAACCCTGATAAACAGCTTATTTAATCAAGAAAATAGAGGAAACACAAATTGGCAAAAACAAAAAAAGCACAAAAAATAAAGAAAATTATTATAAACTGTTTTGGTCAATTTATGCCAACAAAATGGTAAATGAAATTTATTATTTGTAAAAGTAGAAACTGTCCAGATTAACATACAAGAAACAATTTAAATAACCCCTAAAACATTTATGTTTTAAATAACCAAAAAACCTTTTAATTTTAATGAATTATTATAGGTATAAGCAGACAGACATTTCCTTAATTTTGGTAAGCAGCATCTCTATGCTAGATGCCATTCCAGTAACAATTAGGGGTAAAACAAGAAAGTCTGCCTTCACCATGATTTTATGATACAGTTCTAGGAATTCTCACTACAGCCATGAGACAAGAAAAACTGAGGGGCTAAGTGTAAACAAAGAAAACAAAATTACCACTTTTTGAGATGATATTTTACTTAGAAAACCCTAGAGATTCAACTAAAATCGATCGAAACAGTAACCATATGGATATAAAATAAGCCCACAAAATTATCAGCCTTTCTATGTATTACCAATAAAACCCAAAGACATAGAAATTCCATTCAAAATCGCCACAGTATGTATAAAATATCTCAAATTTCACTTACCAAAACACAGAGGAATTATATTAATGTACCTACAAGACAGTTTCCAGAAATACAAGAAGACTTAAATAATTGAAGAGATACTAATTGTTCATTGTTGAGTCAGGCCAATGTAATAAAAATGGCAATATTACCCAAATTAATTTATAGATTTAGTGCCATAGTAATCAAACTACCAAATAATTATTTTATAGAACTATATGTAATAATAGCAAAATTAATCTGTAGGAACAAAATATCAAGAAGCTGAAGATGAAAAACGAAAAAAAAAGGGAAGGAAGAGAGCTTAGGAGTAATAGATCTCAAACTATACTATAAAGCAGTAATTGTCAAAACAATCTTGTACTGGTTAAAAAATAGGAAAGCCGATGCATGGAACAGATCAGGTACAAAAGCCCCGGAAGCAAACAATGTAGTAGTATAGTACTACTGGGGTAAGGACTCACGGTATGACAAAAACTGCCTGGAAAATTAGGAAACAGTTTGGGAGAAATTGGGTTTAAACTGATATCTCACAACACACACCACAATAAACTCCAAATGTATCCCCGACTTTGATATAAAAGGTCATGTAAACAAATGAGGGGAGAAGGAAGGAGGTACCTATAGCAGCTATGGAGAGTTCTTGACCAAACAGGGAATAGAGATGTTCTATTATCTAAAGGATAAAATGACAATAGTGATTTTGTGAAACCAAAGAGGTTTTGTACAAACAAAATGAATGCAATTGGAATGTGAAAAGAAATAGCTGAGTTGGGAAAAATTCTCTGATAAAAAAAGCTAATATCCAAGACACAGAGAACTGATACAGATACATAAGAACAAGTACCATTCCCCAATAGATTTAATAAACTATCAGATCACGTGAACAGGCATATCTCAAAAGAAGAAAGATAAGCTATCAACAACACATGGGGGGGAAATGGTCCAAATCATGAATAACGAGAGAAATGCAAATTAAAATGACAGTTTCTATTTTACCTTCATCAGATTGGTAAAGACGGCTAAAAAGAAGGTAAATGACAATTACATGGAGATTGACCACTGCTGTCCTATTGGGGAACGTGTGAACTGGTCCAACTAGATTGGAAAGCAATTTGGAACTATGTCCCCAAATTCATTAAACTCTGCATACCTTTTGACCTACGGATACCATTTCTAGGCAAATACCCTAGTGAGGCTAAAAATAAATGGAAAGGACTCATATACATACATACATACATACATACATACATACATACATACATATATATGTATATATATATATAGTATATATATGTATATACACACACACACACACACACAAATATTTATAGCAACACTTTTTGTTGCAGCGAAGAACTGGAAACAAAATCTGAACAAATTATGGTATTTGAATGCAACATAATATTGCGGCTTAAGAAATGACAAAAAAGGACAGATTTGGGAAACACACGAAAACTTGCATAAACTCATGTGCAAAGTGAAATGAACAGAACCAGAAGAACAATTTCTACAATGACCCCAATACTGTAAGGGAAAACAAACTTTGAAAGACTAAAGAACTAATCACAACTTTATGTGACCGATGAAGGATTCTTCCTACCTTTTGGCAGGGAGGTGGTAGTCTGTGGATGCAGAATGAAACGTTTTCAGATACAGCCAATGCCTGTTTGTTTTACTTAACTAAACTTTTAGTTATATAGAGAATTAGGTGGAAGGATTAGTGATAGTAATAAAAAATTATAGAAAAACATCAACGAAACACTCAAAAAACAGAAGAAATCAGAAGTGTTCAGAAGGGGAGAGATCTCGAAGCAGGACGGTGTTGATACCACCATGTTAAATTTGATCTGTGCTTGGAAAAAAACCCCACAAATGTGATAGAAATTAACAGTTCCATATACAAACCTTGCTGCTCTTTGTTTATGAAAATATTCACGTTTGTAAAATTTATGAAAAGGGAAAGAAGGGAACCAAAAAATTATGAGAGATTAGCTTGTTTGGCAAGCTCTGATGGACTTCAACAGGAGACACATTTTTAGATGATGGCACTAAGGATTCACACGGCCGGGGGCTGTAGGGGCCAGACGAGTCACACTGATGCATGTGATCTGTCTCCATCCCTACTCCCCAGCCTTCTGGTTCCAGTTCGCACCCAAGCCTTGACTGACCTGCGTGTCTGGGGGCTGAACAGCAGCATGAAGAGTGCTGGATTGGGAGTGGAGTCTGTCTCCAAGACCCTTCCTCTCTCTGGCCCCATTTCTTCTTTCTAATGGGGTACGAGTGTAACAATGCTCATACCACCTACCTCACAGAGTCATTAGGAGGAAGTGATAACAAGCCCGGACATTTGCAGAGCAAGCTAAGACTGCAAAGGGCTTTGTTGTTCACTTGGAATCTGGTTGAAACGCTGGGGGTGGGAACTATAGCGATTATTCTCTCCACTTTGCAAATAAGGAAACTGAAGTTAATAGCTACTAATAAGCAAAGGCAGCACTTGAACCCAGATCTTCTTGACTCCATCTCTGGTGTATCTAGTACACCAAAGCACTTTCACAAATGTGACTCACTGTCGCTGTGATTTTAGAACAATAACCAACACAGGCAGCCTAGGAGGACAAAGACTTGCTGTGTCTGACACGGAAGGAGAATAGAGACTAGGAAGGAGGAGACTGTATTTCAAAGACATGGATTTTATTGTGTGTAGGTTGTACAATATGGTCAATTCCAAAATCTATATGGTTGATATATTAAACGTATTACAAGATTACATAGCTAATAGGGAAAAGCACATGTGTTGGGCAGGATGTCATACAATGTACAAGTCAGCTCTCAAAAAATGTTTCCTCCCAGAGGAGGCCGGACTCCTTTGCTCCAGAGACATGGAAGAAGAGCCAGCAGCGGGGCAAGAAAACGGGTTTCCAGGGACATTCCTGGGCAGAGATGGAGCATCCAGTAATAGGCACGTGCTCACGGACCCCATGGCAGCAACGTGATTAGCAGCAGAAGCCATTTTACGGGGAAACAAAAACCCAGGACAGCAGACAGAGAGGATAGTTGTCCACGAGGAAGTCCTGCTGGGTCTACAGTGTGAATACTTCCATCCATCCATATCTCCCATAAAGGATTTACCCAACAGAACACACTGGGGGCTTTCCTCTGATTCATTCTCTGTCCAAGAGGGTAACAAAAACACAGATGTGTCATTAAATCATGATTTTAAAAAATCTCCATAGACCTGCCCACAGTTTCTGCGAATGCAGGTCTTGTCTGTGATCATTTAAGAAGATGGTCTTCATCACTTTGAAAAAGCGTGTGCTGCCCACATGGCCAAGGACTGGACAGCAGTCATGGGTAGCGTCAAAGGATGTTGGAGGTGGAAGGTCTTTGACGTCAACACGTTCACCCCATCACTTTACTGATGTAGAAAATGAGTCCGAGAGGTAGACAGGCTGACACAAAATTACCTAACTTGCTCTGTACCACCTTCTCCTTCCCACCCCCAGAAAATCTTTGCTCTGGCCATCTTCGTTTCCTGCCAAAGTGCTACATGCTGTCTAAAAAGAACTGAAATCTTTTTTTTTCTCCTTAAAAAAATAATTTCAAATCACCCATTTAAGATACTAGGAACCGACTTGTGCCAACACAGAAGGTCAATAAAAGGGATTTAAATCCAGACTGTTCCACTCCACCCCTCTGGCAGCGCTTAGCACCCGTGGAGGGGTCACAAGTCACGGAGAGCAAACGAACTGCCTTTATTCCTTCTGTGCCCTGGAATCCCCATGTCAGGGGTGTACGGCAATCCTTCCACTTGATGAAAGGGGAAAACGTTTTGTTCACTGACATGAGTCAGGGACTTTCTTGCCTGCGTCCAGTCTTCAGGGAGACGCTGACAGAGCAGTCCAGCCATGCTGATTGCAGCCCCAGCAGGGCATGTATTGGACATCTTCATTTGGGGTCCATGTCATAAAGTGGGATACCAATTGCACTGGCATGCAATCTACAGACATTCCTTGCCCTATTTGTGATGGATTTGCACGAAACATACAGAACATCCTCCTCCTGCACAGAATAAGCCATTTGGTAGTTCTAGTAAACAGAGACATCACTATTGTTAATGCTGTGGGGACCCTTCTTTACAGGACAGAACAAAGACCTCTCTAGACAGACTGACTGCAAGACGATTCACAGGCCTCTTGGACTCACATGTAGAGAAATCAGGAGCTCTCACCTGCAGATATGACAGTAAGACCCACACATGATTCACACACCTGGAGAGACATCATAAACAGCTCACTCAGGAAAGATGAGAAGCACAGAGACATTTTCGGTGGCAGAACCCTATCCAGTTAAGACTGGGCACCAGGTTTCCTGAAGGACTGAGAGACGGACTGCACCCAGGTGGGAAAACCACATCTGTGAACTTTATAAGAGAATGGTGTGTGTATGGGGGGGGTCACCAGGATTGGATCACGAAGCTCAGCTCAGAGAAATGGAACCAACAGAGAGAAAAGAAAGGCTGGGTGGGACACAGACGCAGACTCTCCCTTCAAGTCAGTGCCAGAAAAGGGACACCAGCCTCAGGAGAGTTCTTCCAGCTCGTCCAGAAAGCTCTCAGCAAGCCTCTGTTTTCATAGGGGTCAGAATGGGAACTGACCTTCCACCTCTTTTGAGGCTGGCTCTCTGTATGAGGTCTAAGGGAGACAGAGACTGCCCAGGCTGGGGCTGAACCAGCATGTCCCCAGGGAGGGATGGCTGCGTGCCCTCTGCAGTTTCACTACATTTCAAGAGCCTCCTGGGGCTGACCAGTGGCCAAGGGTCCCTTCCACAGTGGCACGGGAGAATCACTCCATCAGTTACTGGCATCTTTGGCACTTCCTGTCACTGATGCTGAAGTCTGTACTGCTGTGTGGTCCTGACCCTGCTCAAGGTCAGAAGACGAGAGAAGAGTGTGGTTGGGACCTCCATGCTGGGCTATACCAGAGACAGCCGAAAGCTGCAGATCAAAACTCAATTCAAACAACACCCCCAAAAGTCTGTGTACAGATAGCACTAAATTGAGGTATCATTGTCTTATCACATAGTTTTCTGAGATACAGAGACTAGTTGCCGTTTTCCAGTTCCTTTGCCTTTCCAGTTGGGCGGCAGACCAGCTCCCACAAGTGAGTCTATGAGATGCCATCTACATTTTGGATTAAGACAAGGATACAGTGGTCCGTTTTTTCTTCCAGTCAGAACTAATTAAGCATACATCTCCAATAGCCATCAGCAGCAAGATGGTTGGTTTTTGTTTTCTTCATGCAGAGACTGGGCATGACTATGCCAGTCTGAATTGGTGTCATGGCAGCTGCTGTCCATTCCACAGGGGATACTGCCCACCCCGCATCCCTTCATGTGAAATAGCGACATGGTGTGGAGTCAATGTAGCAGTGTGAAGTACATCTCAATTCCCCATAGGACCTGAGGTGAGAAAGAGAACCATGAGTCAGAAAGAATTCCATGGGTACCATGGGACCTTGGGATTTGAGAGATGGAAGGAACCTGAATGATCACAGCTGGTAGCATTAAGAGTTTTGCAAAGACCATCTCGCTTTATCCTCAGGACAACCATGGGAGGTAGGTGCTATTATTATCTCTATTTTACAGAGGAGGAAACTGAGAGATTGACTTGCCAGCACTACACAGCCTCCTAGCTGCAACGGGATTTGAACTCCCGGATCTGAGCCCAGCACTCTATGCACCAGACCACCTGGATACCTCCTTAGGGATCATCTAGTCCAAGTGCTCTTAACCCTTTTGGGTCCTGGACCCCTCTGGCAGTGTCCAGTGAACCCTATAGTCCCCTTCCAAATCCTGACTTCAAATGCATAAAATAAAATAAAATAAAATATGGAGGACTGCAAATGAAACCAATTACACTGAAATGCAGTTATCTAAATATTAAAAACAAGTTCACAGACTTCTCCCTCTTAGGAATCCATGGACCCCAAATTAAGGACCCCTGCTCTAGAGCAACATTCGCACACATTAAAATGAGGAAAAACCAGCCCAAATGGGGGGAGTCAGAGAACTGGGATCTGGACCTGAACTTTTAGATCTAGTGCTCATGAGACGGAGCCTCTCGAGAAGCTCCCTCTTGATAAAGGAATAGTTAGAACTAATCAATCAAAAACATTTATTAAGCACCTACTACATACCAGTCACTATGCTAAGTGCTAGGGATACAAAAAGAGGCAAAAGACAGTCCCTGCCCTCAAGGAGTTTACAATCTCACGGAAGCTCAGTCCATTATCCCAACCTTGGCTTCTCTTCATTCCCTCCTGTAGGTAATCAATCAGTCCAGCAAGTCCCGGTCCTCCTCCTTGGACTCCCCTCCCTCCTTGCTGCCTCGTTCCGCCGTTCATGCCTGCCAACTCGTAATCCTGGTTCACCCCCTAGCCGCTGAACAGCGCCAGAGGAGATGACACAGTCCACGGTGGACTCTTGTCTTGCTTCACTGCTCCCTTGTTCTCACAGTCCTTTTTTCCTTCTTTGGCTGACTTTCTATTGCACATCCACAATGGCCTTTCTAAATGTCTCTCTCTTCTGAGGCCCCCCAATTGCACCCCCAGCACTCCTGCAACAAAGGACCCTGGCTCCTGCCCTATAAGTACCCTAGTAAGTACCTGAGGCCCTGCACAGGACCTCCCTTGCCTCCCCTGCTCCCATCTGCCCCAAATTCTCTTCACCTTTGCCTTCTCTCTGTTGCTCCAGCCTCAGAAGAAGGGGCTCTTCTTTTTTAAAGGTATAAGGTTCGATTACAAAGTTAGCAGGTAAATACCTCTAACTTGCACCCTCGGTCCTATCTCATCTTCTGGGAGTTTGCCTCATTGATTATTCCATCTTTGTCATGTCTTCCATCTCTCCCTCTCTACTGAGGCCTTCCCAGATGCCTGACCACATGATGAGGTCTCCTCATCCTTAAAAACAGAAAACAAACAAAATCTTTCACTTGACCTAACCACCCCCTTAAGCCAAACTTACTGGCTCACTGCCAAACTCCTAGAGAAACATCATCGACCCTCACTGCTTCCATTTGCTCACTAGCCACCCACTTCTTCACCCCTTGCAGTCTGGCTTTTTACAGAAACCACTTCCAAATGTTACCAACAATCGTTCATTTCTCAATCCAGTGGCCTTTTCTCAGTCCTCATCCTTGATGACCTCTCCCCAGTTTTGGACATTGCTGACCACCCCCTCTTACCTTAGCTTTTAGGGGGCTAAGCTTTCTTTCTTTCTTTCTTTTTTTCTTATGTGAGGCAATTGGGATTAAGTGACTTGCCCAGAGTCACACAGCTAGCTGTTAAGTGTCTGAGGCCGGATTTGAACTCAGGTCCTCCTGAATCCAGGGCTAGTGCTCTATCTACTGCACCACCCACCTCCCCCTAGAGCAGTACTTTCTTGCTTCTCCTAAATACTTATGTGGCTATTCCTTCTCAGTCTCCTTTGCTGCATCACCCATCTCTTGCCCCCAAAACTATGTCATGAGCCATCTTCTCTATCTACTCTCCCTTCAGCTCCCATGGATTCAGTCATCCTTGGGCAGAGGATTTCCAAATATCCATCCATAATCTCTCTTAAACTCTCGTCCTGCATTTCCACCTGGATGTTCTGTTGGTACCTCAAACTCTACCTCTCCAAACTGAAAGCCACACCTTCCCCCTAAACCCGTGCTCTAGACTTCCCTGTTTCTGATGGCTGCACCCCTGTATTCGTGCTCACCAGGTTCACAACCTCGGAGTCCTCATTGCCCACAGAGCCGATCACTTTGCCACGTCTCGTGGATTTTACCTCCACGTGCATCACGTGCATCCTTTTTTCTCCACTCACATGACCGCCACCTACCTCAGACCCTCGTCACCACTCTCTTCCACACTGTAATAGTCCCTTTCTTGGTTTCCACAATTCTGGTCTCTGCCCTTATAAGGCACGAGTGATCCTCCTGAAACACACATTACTCCCTTGCTCAAATACCTTCAATGGCTCTCTGTGGCCTCTAGAATAAAAGACACGTTTCCTGGCCTGGAACGTCCAGTTCTTGACTCCTGGGTCCCTCTCTCCAGCCTCATGTTTTACACTCTACATTCCTGTCCACCTACATGATTTGCTTTCCCTGGACTGAGCATGCCGTCACCTCAGGCCTCCCTCAATTCCTACAGACCAATTCCCGTTTCTGTGACATACTCCTGCTCCTCTCTGCCTTTCGGGCTCCTTATTTTCCTTCCATGAAGCCTTCTCTGATATCCCCGAGGCTGGAGCCCTCTCCCACCTCAACCTTTCCTGATTTGTCCCAAGCCCCTGCCACCCTGTCTTGTACTGCGTTATGTACATACAGAGCACATGATCAGCTCCTGTCCAGCCCAGCAGAATGGGGCTCCTGGAGAGCAGACACAGTTTTGTTTCTGCCTTGGCATCTTTACTATCCAGCACAGCACCTTGCATAGAATGAGCACTTGATCAATGCTGGTGGATTTAGAGTTTGAAATGGAAAGGAATGGGATCCCAGCCTGGCCCAGTTTCCCACAATCCACCTGCAAGCTCCACAGTCTGGTTAATTAGTAGCTCCTGCTAGCTCGTCTTCCACAGAAATGACGGCTGACAGGAAACAGAAGGTCAGACTGGAGGAGGAATGCTGATGAGGGGACAAATGAGGCCAGTCAGCAATGAGGAGATGATGTGGCTCGCAGCCCCCTCAGGCTCCAGAGCCCAGCTCGGCTCCCCAGGATGGCAGCATTCCAGCAAAGGCCATGTGCTACCCTGAGAGAGCCAGGAGAGGCACCTTTCAAGAACATGGCGGCCATACTCAAGAGCTGGGTTACTGTGGGCAGGCCTTCACCCACAAAGTCAGCAATGTAACCTCCACAATCTCTGGGGTTACTCTGTTCTCATTCTATACAAACACTTCTTTCCTTGCCTCTGTGAGGTTGTGATATTTTTCTAGTGTAGAAAACCCAACGAATCTACCAAGGGAAAAAAAATGCACTGGGCCCTATTCTTCCACCTCTCCGAAAAAACACTGCATTCCCTTTATCAATGAAAAGCATTATTACCATTAGACTCCAAACTCCTTGACTAACGGTTTTTGCCTTTCTTTGTAGCCCTAGTGCTTAACACAGTGCCTGGCACACAGTAGGTGCTTAATAAAAGCTCATTAACTTGTTCATATGGAATGCTGAAAAGAATGTACCATTTAGTATAGCTACAGAATTTGAGGGTCTGGAAGTACCTTCAGGGATATCTATTGCAGCCCCTCCTTTTTCAGATAAGGTCACTGAGGCCCAGAGAATGCAACGCGATGCGTGGCTCCCCTCTACCGTGCTGCCTGTCTCAACTTCTCCACTGAAGTCCTACTGTGACCTTCTGATAGAAGATGGAGAACACTGGCTGTCCATGGGTCAGCCACTCCCTCTTTTTTTTCTCCTTATCACGCATCTCTGGCATAACATCCATTGGGTGCAACCTGCTTATACCTGCCACAAGCCCTTCACTGTCCTGGGGTAAGCTTGAAATATCACTCCTCTCCTCTATAACATTACCTTTTGTCCCCACTCTATGTATGTTAGGGGTGGCTCAGTGGAGAAAGCACTGGACCTGGAGTTAGGAAGTCATGAGTTCAAATCTGGCCTCAGACACTTATTAGTTATGTGACCTTGGGCAAGTAACTTAACCTCTGAATATCTCCATTTTCTCATCTGAAAAATGGGGATGACAATGGTACCTACCCTGCAGGGTTGCTGCGAGGATCAAAGGAGATAATAATTGTGAAGCACTCAGCACCATGCCTGACACATAGCTATGTAAATACTAGCTATTATTATAATTATGTAAGGCACTTTTCAAACCTCAAAGAACTCCATAAACACTAGTTCTTATTTTGTCTTTCATTAAGAATATAAACTTCCGGAGGGCAGGGACTGTTTCTGTCTCTCCATGTAGCCCCAGCTCTTTACATGGTGCCTGGCACATGGTAAAAGATACAGATGCATTTCACAGGTGTCAAGAGCCTTGGTGAGGAACTTCCTCTGCCAGGGCAGACTGGCACCTTTCTTTTGATTTAGAGTCTTCAAGAGTTCTCCCTCTAGAGCACTGAGAAGCTAGCAAGTGTTTGATCCAGGATTGTACTGCAAGGATATGTCCAGGGTACACTTGAACCTGGGCCTTTCCACCTCCTAGGCTGGTCTGCTCTCATTGGCACATAGTAAGCACTTAATAGTTGCTCAGTGATTGATTGATTCTTTACAAGCCATAGGCATTCCACGTTCATTTTAATCCGTTTCCCTTTTCAAATAAGCAAGCTGAGCTACAAAGGGAAGGATCTGCCAGAGATTATAGTTACTGGTGGCAGCAGGACTGGAATTCAGCTCTCCCAATTCCAGCCCATTTCCCTTTCCCTAGAGGACACTGCAGAGGGTGGGAACAGGACCCAAAGGGGCAGGAGAAGTAGCCGAACAGGGAATTGTCTCTGACAGAAATGTCAGCCCACGTGGCTCCTGGCTGAAGTAGGTTCTCTGCCGGACTTAAAGCCAGACTTTGGGGATGGTTTAATCAGGATGTCAGCCTGGACAGGGGTTACTGAACGGGCAGCCCAGAGGGCAGCAGTTTATGGATGGGAACGCTTTCAAAGAGCAGTTTGTGGCTGGATGGCCACCAAGAATGGCTTAATGCAAAGGCCAAACAGGGGCCCATGCGATCTTTTTTTTTTTTAATCTGTTTCTCTGTCTTGCTTGAGGCAAGATAATATCTTGTAAGTAATTGGGTCCTGCTAATTTTCATAAACACAGTCGATCTCTATTTAAAACCGTCTATTCCAGCCACCTAATTTGGAGCTACCAGGAAGAAGGACCATGGGAAAATATCTAATTTTCAGAAATGTGATCCCACCAAGGTGATGCAAGGACAGTGTCCCCTTCTTCTTCACATCCCCTTCAGCACTTACCACAGTGTCTTAGGTATGGTAAGCGCTCAGTAAGTATTTGTACAATTGAACCGGATCTGGTGCACTTGCTTTGTTCCACTGGACTCTCCTTTCCATTCATCCCTAACTTCCTTCTCCAAACCCCCGGTCCAGGAAGCACAATGTATTGAAGATCGGGGGGTGGGGTGAGAAGATGCTTGTCTCATGAAATAAAAAAGGGTGCCCCGGGGTTGCTTAGGAACAGACAGCTTTGTCCTCCCATTGGATCAAGGGTGATGCAAACTGCATCTTTGCTTCCCCCGCCCTCTCCCAGGAAGAAATAGCTTTTGCTTTCAAGTCATTGTAGCTCTCTGAGGACAGAAAAAAGCAGACTTGCTCAAACCCTTTCTGCATTTACTTAACAATGCATCGTTTATCCCTACCCGGGGAGATAGGTCTCACAAGTCAGATAGCCAAAGTCCCTTCCGTCACAGTCTTCCACACCTTCATGTCGATAACCATCTCCACAATATGCTCGATGACATCCTAGATGGACACAGGAAGGCAGGAACACTAAGGTTAAGGCTAATGGTGGAGACTGGCTTTGGATCATATATAAGTGCTTTATTTGTGAGGATGCTGTGGCTAAAAGGCCTTTCCCAGTTAGCAGGAAGCCTTGTGTAGTGAGATCCATCGATGGGCTATATTGACCATCAATCTCCATGTATGAAACTGAGAGACTGGGGCAAGTCAAGGGCCAGAGCCAACCAGTGTTCCAAGAGACCCTAGTAATTTGCAGGGGGATTCAGTAGTTTAAGCAGGTATAAGCTTTTAGAAGGGATAGTCCACTCATTTATTTGGGAAGGAAAGATCTAGCTTATAGACCACCCAGACCCTTATTTACTAGTCCCTCCCCTGCCTCTAGCCATTTCATTGCTCATCAGTGTCTCTACTGATGAAGAAAGTGGATAGAACTCAAACCAGCCTATTTGGAGGAGGCTCTGGCAAACACATTCTCCCCACCCCTTTAAAGAAAAGTCCATTTCCTAGCGATTAGATAAGACCCTTCATTTTACTCCTAAAAGCATCCGGAGATGCCAGCTCATGCTTCTAAGGAAAGGAGGCTAGTGCCCAAGCCCACTATTACATTGCACTGACCTCCCCTATACCTCTCCCTCTCTCTCTCTTACCCCTCCCCTTCCTGATATAACCTCTGAACTTGGAACTGCTCCCAATTAGGACTAGACTGGATCGTGCTTCTCCTCAGCCCAGTAACTGACCGATCACTTACTTATGCAGTCATCAGCCACCACGTTGTTGCCATCATCACATTCCTCTCCCGGCTGTAGGATCCCATCTCCACAAGAGTGGCCATCGTCTACAGGGTAATCCACAGGATAGAAAGGGGTAAGCTATCCAAACAAACACACAATAATTACCGGGAGGGGACAACAGATGCCCCGAGGAACAAGAAAGAAAACATTCGAGCTTGGAAATAAAGACACCGGAGGGAGGTCCAAGAGAAACCCTAGCAAGAGGGCAATGGGATTCCAGGCACCACTGAAAAGTCAACCCCATTCAGGGAGAAAAGCAGTTTTTCATTTGTTCCTTCTCTACAGACTCTCCATGAACTTTAGAGCCGAGGTTCTTAACCTGGTCTCCCTGAACTTGTTTCTGTTTTAATATTTTAATGGCTGTTTCAATATAATCAATTTCCTTTGTAATCTATGCATTTTGTTTTCTGCATTTAAAAACACGATTCTGAAAAGGGATCCGTAGGTTTCACTAGGCTGCCAGAGGAGCCCTGGGAACCAAAAAAGGCCAAGGATCCCTGGCTCAGAGGGAACGTGGTTAACTGGATCGAGAGGGATCGTGGACTCAGGAAGCCCGGGGTTCAGTTCCTGCCTCCAGTCTTCCCATCCTGGCTGTGTGAATGTGAGCCAATCATTTAAGCTCTCTGAGTTTCAGTTTCCTCATCTCTAAAACGGGTATGATATGGGGAGGAGCTGAGAGAGGGAGAGAATTTGGAACTGGAAGTAATATTGAATTAAAGGAAATTGAATGAGTATAATAATACCTCTATAGCAGGTACCTCCCAGGCTCATAGTGAGACTCAGAGAAGATCATAAACCTTGAAGCATTACATAAATGCTGCTGTTATTTCCAGGTGTTGGACAAGTGTGACCTCTACCACTGCATACAGGAAGCTAGTCTGGTGTTCAAGAGGTTGGTGTGGAGCTGGCAAACACGGCCTCTGGGAAACCTCCACCTTGAGCTCACCTATGGGCTTTTGTCCAACAATAGAGAGAAGTGGGGCAGTGTGCCAGACAGTGGGAGCCAAGGGCCTGCTTCCTGTCCTCAGGGGAGGGTCTGTGACTCTTTGGAGGAGCTGGGGAAGAACTCAACATGTGGCTGAGGCTTGGGATCTTCCGATATCTTTAAGGCTCTAAGAGTGGATTCTGAAATGGTCCCCCTGGAATACCTGGATGGGGAGCCAGCCAAGGTTGTCCTTGAAATAGAGAGCCCTCTGGTCTTTACGAAAAGCGATGGCGTTTCGGGTGTTCAGCCGCTCCAGCTCCTCACCATTGTTCACCACAAAAATCTGTCCAAAGAAGAGGTCAGTGAGGACTCCAACCAATGTTTCTCTAGAGCAGAGAGGAGATGGCGTGGATGGGGCAGTTGGTAAGGACACAAAATCCCTAGCCCCATGGCCTTTGACCAATGGATCCTAAGAGCTTTACCTGTGATTTCTTTTCCCTAGCCACTAAGATCTGAGTTTTCAATCTAAAAGTCCATAATGGATGAAGTGACTCATTTAGAAGGTTCTCCACTGGGGAAATCTGCTGAGGGGTGCCGAGGAGCCAACGTTAGAGGGTGTGACACACATTCACCATTAGCCACTGGCATCATACAAAGTAACCTTACCACAGGCACTCTGGGGTAGTTGGGTCCACGCAAATAGTCCTCATATGACGGGTTATTCATATTCATGGAGGATTTACAAAGACATCTCCCCGGAGGCCCAGGAGGTCCTCTTTCCCCTTTGGGTCCAGTTATAGATTGTCCTGGGAAATGAAACACCAGACCACCATGTTTTATGGCAAAAGCCCAAAAAGCCAGTTCCTAGAAAAGGAGCACTGCATTGTTAACAGAATGGTTAATGACAGCTGGCACTGATACACATGCTACCTCATGTGATCCTTACAACAACTCTAAGGAGGAAGGCATTATTGGCTCCATTTGACAAATGAGGAAACTGAGGCAAAAAGAGGTAAAGTGATTTGCCCAGGGTCACACAACTAGTAAATGCCTGAGGCTGGACTTGAACTCAGGTCTTCTTGACTCTAGGCTCAGTACTCTATCCACTTTGCCACCCAGCTGCCAATAGTTATAAAGGAAGGAATCTTGGAGGCTGGAGAGTTCAGAATGAACCTGAAGGAGAGTGACTTTAAACACTGCTCTTAATTTTTAAATGTCTAGAAAAATGAAAGGTAGTATGGTGCAGTGGGTAGTGTTGGCCAGCCTGGAAGCCAGGAAAACTTTTGTTTAAATTTCACCTCTGACACATGCTGGCTGCGGTGTCCCAGGCACTTCACTGCACCCCAGTGTTCAGGGCTTCTTAAACTTTTTCCACTCGAGACCCCTTTTTACCTTTCAGCAGCATGCACTGGCATCGCATGGCCTGATGGCATGCACAGTGCAAACTGCACATGCTTTGTGTTCCAAACCACGGCTGCAGTGAAGTTACGTGATGTAACACTGGCAAGCCCTGCCAGATGCACCTCAGATTCATTATGCGTTTGCTTTTGAACTAATTTTTGATGGCTGTGCATTCAGAAACCTCTCACTGTTGCCAATTTTTCTTGACCCCATTTGAAGTATCCCTGAGTCCTATGTGGCCCCACCCACATCTGCACTGTGCAGGAGAGGGGGCACTGGTATCGCTCCACCATCAGGCCATCTCTGCATCTGGACTGTTTGCACTCTCCAGGTAAGATCTCGGTTCAGCACTTTTTATGATCCAGGAGGAATGAGCCACACTAATTCTGACCTCATTATAAATGAAAACTAGAGGACAGAATGAGAGGCAGCCACGTGTCGTTGGGGCGACCAGGAGGTGGTAAAATCCAAATGCAACAAGAAGCATTACATGAAACCCATGTCCACCTCTTTGCTGGAAAATGAGCATGAGGATCACCATGAAGCTGTTGCTAGTGCATGGGCTGCCAAGGATGAAGAATTCGGAAGTGTGCTGGGGCAAGGCATTGTGGGTGCAAAGACCAAAACAAAGCCATCTCCATCCTTAGGGACCTTCCACTCCACTGGAGGGATACCTTATGCACACAGATAAGTCATTTCAGGAGGGAGAAAGCACTAACAAGGGGGCACTCTGGGAAGCCTTCCTGTGTGGGGAGACGCCTGAACGGGGCTTAAAGGAAATGGAGAGGAGCTGGGGAAGCCTACAGAAGCTTGGGGAGCGGAGGTAGCAAGCTGGGTCCAGGAGACAGCCAGGTCCTCTCTCATCACGGCCAGCAGTCAAGGCTTCACCAACATCAGTGCTGTGGGAGCCCAGGGGAACAGAGCTGCAGACGAGGAGAACCTGGCCCCAAGTGGCTTTGTTCAGTCCAGAGACCCACTTCCCATTCTTACATGCTCATGGCAATGGTCACATGACCCCAAAGCCAAGCCCTCCAGCATCATGGGCCAGCTGGGGGGGAAGGGCTCATGGGCCACAGACACTCCTTACCCGACGCTGGTGCTCCTGGGAGGCCCGGTTTGCCAGGAAGTCCAGAGCGGCCAGGCGGACCCGTGACTCCGGCATCACCCTTTTGCCCCTGGCAGAGAAGAAAGCATAACCTGTTAGGATGGTGGGAGCTTTCTTCCAGGTTAGCAGAGGTCAACACTCCTAACCACACAGTCTCAGATTTACTCCCAGAACAAGAGAATGCCATTTGCAGCATGAAACCGAATAAGCTCTTTAGGCAAACAGGAGAAGTCAAAGGTGAGAAAAGCTTGAGGGTCAGATGAAAAGCTGGTAGGTTACAGACCCCAATTCATTTTATTGAATAAGAAAGAACAAAAAGAAAGAAGTTTGAAGAGGCCACATACTGGGAGGCTGTTCCTTCTTACTGGTCACTGCGAGTTTTCAATGTCCTCCTCTGCCACAGTCCCCCCAACCAACATGTAACATCGCCCTTGACAGCTGGGTGGCAAAGTGGATAAAACACTGGACCTGTAGTCAGGAAAACCTGAATTCAAATCCAGCCTCAGGCACTTAGTAGCTGGGTGACCTTGGGCAAGTCATTTAACCACTGTTTGCCTCAGTTTCCTCATCTGTAAAATGGAGATAATACTAGCACCTACCTTGGTGGGTATTGTGAGGATCGAATGAAATGATATTTGTAAAGCACTCTGCACAGTGCCTGGCACATAGCAGGTGCCACAAGAATGCTTCTGTTCCCTGCTTCCCTGTCCATCCCTCCCTTCCCAACCGGACACCACGACTAAAACAACCAGACCATTATGTGATGGGAGCTGTAGTGCCCCAAGGGTTCCAAGAAGGTCGCTCCCATGGAGGGAGTGCAGGGAAGGCTTTGTGGGGGCTGAGCCCCAGCTGGTTAAAGAGCAGGATCAAGAGACGTTTGTTACAGAATAATGTGCAGAAGGTCAGGAAGAGGGAGACAGCAAGCTCCATGAAGGAGACGGGGCGTCTCCGCGGGATTGCGAGCAAGTGGGTCATCTTTCTGCTGCCGACGCAGTTTTTGCATCAACATATCCTGGGCATTCCTTACGGCCATCTAGAACCCAGCGTCTTGGGGCAGTGGCCAGAGCACAAGATGGAGTCCCAAGAGCTCAGTCAGCTCTGATAGCCCTGCAATCTGAGGTAAAGCTCCATTTCTCTGAGCCTCAGTTTCCTCATCTGTAAAATGAGCATAATAATCCCTGCCCAGCCTCCCTCACAGGGACACAGAGGTTCAAATGAAATAACGTCCATTAAAGTGTTTTTGTGGGTTAGGGGAAAGAACCCCAGCCTCAATGGCAAAAGAACAAGGTTCTTCTCCAAGCCTCAGTAATCACATCTGTAAAGAAAAGGTAACCATACTGGCACTACCTCCCTCACAGGTACATGTGAGGAAAAACATTCAGCAAACCTAAAGAGCTATAAAAGTTGTCACAGAGCACTAAACAAGTCCAAAAAGTCCAGCTCTGGCCCTACAGTAGAAGAAGTGACGGCCAGACTCTCAGCTCGATGCCCCACGTTCCACTCTGCTGTCCACTCAAGGAGAAAAAAGGGCAGGGATTTTGCCACGAGGGAGAAAACCAAACCAACAGTCCAAACACCAGAAAAAGGCCACGGTTTATACAACGGAACAACCCATTCCAACACTGATGTCCCACCAGGGCGTGTGTTGACAGCGCCCATTTACTCTCAGGCCTCTCCATTTCCTCCAACTTGACCAAAGAAGAAGCTCTTCTACAGACCTCACACTAACATGTTCACCACGGTGAAAATGGCCATGCACACATGGCAGGCTCTCACGCTTGTTACTCGAATGAATGAACATCGTTGGTGCTGCACGGCCAGATGAATCACTTTACACATGGGGAAAGTGAATCCCTATTCCCCAGTTTAGCTGCTTTACAAACCTGGATTTTCCCATTTTCCTATCAGGACAGAGACAACTATTATTACAATACCAAAGCCCAAAAAGGCCCATGCCTCTTGGAGTCCTGGTTCCATTTGTTTCTGAATGCTCTCCTCTGTTATAGGAATGACTTCACCAAGTGCCGGCACCTTGGCCTTGTGGCCAGTGACTGAGAGCTGGTGATTGAAATGAGCCGGGTTCACTCCCCGTAACACCAGGCCTGAGCACTCAGCTATGCACTAATTGCTCTTTGGGGTCTAAGCAGGACAGTGATTTATGTCCCCAGCACCTTTGGCCTGGATTCTCTTCCCACAAGTCTACTTTGGCAGGCTTACCCTCCTGGTGGAATGCAATCTCCCCTCTCATGGGGAAGCAGCCCCTTCACAGGGCCCTTTTCCCATCAGGCCTGGAAGGTAGGACATTCCTCCTTGTGAATGGAGCTCCTTCTTCGGTCTTCACTGGCCTGTTTCAAGTCTCTGGAAGGGTATTTTTAAAAAATCTTGAGTGGGGAGAGAGGGGTGTGAGGGTGACATTGGAGGACCCAATTCAATCCTCCTTTGAAGACTCCTTTCTGAGCTGAAATATTCAATGAGATCACCAACGCGGATCTTGTAAGAGAGGAAGTCACACCTTCTTAATATAGCTGCTCACGGGCTTTTTTTAGTCAGCAATCTGAGCTGGATCCCAGGACGGGAAGCAAGGCCTGGGGGAGCTGGCTGCCACCCCTGACTCTCACACAAACAGCTGCTAACTACTGCTTCTCAGCTGGATAACAAGGAGCACTTCAGTGAATGGCATTCACGTTGCCTAAAAAACATATTTTCCTGGGAAAACGCGATTCATCATGTGCTAATAACGTACAAATCCTCTCTCTGGATTGCCCACCTGTGACCAAGAGGTGGCGGACTCTGGGTGCAGAATGAAGCATGTGATTTTGGACAAGGCCAATGAGGAATTTGTTTTGTTTGATTCTGCACATCTGTTACAAGGGTTCCTTCCTCACCCCACCTCCAAATAACAGACAATAGAAGGGAGAGAAAATAGATTTTTAGTAACTGAAAAATTAAATTAAAACAATTTTTTAAAGACTCTTTCCCCAGATTACAAGAACCAGGTCACCCTCCAGCTGTAAGCAAGAGGCTGAATTAGATGACTTTCATTTTTTGTTTCTCTCTGAATCTATGGTTTCTTCAGTGTGGGGACCTCACTGATTTGAAAGCTTCCTCCCCCTGCGTAGACTGGCGCTCTCGGGGGACTTGGGAGCATTGCCAAGGGCACTAAGAGGCTCGCTGATCACACGCTGGCAACCAGAGCCAAGGCAGGACTAGAACCCCGCCTTCCCCAACTCTGGGGTGCCCAGCACCTGTCTACCAGGTGTATGGGTCCTGTGAATTCTATATGAGGTAAACTGCTAATAGCCAGCCCTTCTTCTTTTGGATTTCTCAGAGCAAACAAATGTGATCTTGACATTTCACAGCTACCACACAGCCATGGACATAAGAGCCCCCAAGAGCCTGCCCTGTCCCTCACATCCTGCCTTGAAGCTCAGCTAATCAGCCCGCTGCCACCGGGGGAGGGGACGTGGGCTGCGAAGCACACTGGGGCTGATAACAACCTTTCCTGGAAATGAGGATTTCATTGGACTTCTTTATCTGGCTTTCTAGCACTCCCTCTCCTTCCGATGAAAATTTTAAAGGAGCTGTAAACTTGGACGGAGGCAGCTAGATGGCTCGGTGGATGGAGTGCTGGGCCCGGAGTCAAGAAGAATCATTTTCTTGAGCTCAACTCTAGCTCTTGTGACTCTGGGAAAGTCACTTAACCTTTGTTTGCCTTAATCCATTAGAGGAGGAAGTGGCACAGCACTCCAGCACCTTTGCCAAGAAAACCCCATAGACGGTGTGGTCCATGGGGTCACGAAGAGACACACACAACTGAATAAACAAACCTGGAGCCCCAAGAGAAAGGGCACCATGCGTGGTATGGCGGGATAAGTACACAAGTGAAAAGGGCCTGGGTTTGAATCCTGACTTTTCTCCTTCTCCCTGGGCAAGTGACCTTGGGCAAGTCACTTCAACTCTCTGGGCCTCAGTTTCTTCATCTGTAAGTGAGGGGGCTGAACGAGATGGCCTCTGGAGTCCTTTCAGGTCTGCAACTATGACCCTATGATTGTCTTATCTCAGGCACTCCTCTTCATACAAGGTTTACAACCAATGTTTAAGAAAGGAGCCAGAGCACTGACTGAGTACAGACTTGACTCCCTGAACCATAGCCAACTGCACTTATTAGATACCTATGGAGTACAGGGGCAGCTAGGTGGCACCGTGGTACACAGAGCACCGGGCCTGGAGTCAGGAAGACTTACCCCCCTGAGTTCAGATCCAGCCTCAGATGCTTACTAGCTGTGTGACCTCAGGCAAGTCACTTAACCCTGTCTACCTCAGTTTCCTCATCTGTAAAAATGAACTAGAGAAGGAAATGGCAAACTACCCTAATATCTCCACCAAGAAAACCCCAGCTGGGGTCATCAAGAGCCAGAAACGACTGAAAAACAACTGAACAACACCACGATGCATAGTGTACCAGGGGTTCTTTGATCCACCTGGAATACAGCCTCTGTTTTGTCAGAACCTGACCGAGCTCTGTGGAAGCTCTCTGCCCAGGTCATACAATGCTATGCTAGCCATTTGCTAGGGGAAATGATGGATGAAGGACGGCTTTGCTTCCTAAGATGCATGCTAACCATCCAAAGACATTTTGGTACCTTTATGGAAGCCATACAACAGTGGGCAGAGTGTTAGGCTGGGAGTCAGGGAAACGGGTTCAAATCTTACCGGGGATGCTTGTTTTCTGTGTGACCCTGGGAGAGGCACTTCATCCCTATGCATAGAACAGAACCCACTCAGCCCCGGTGGAAGGAGACTGCATACCAAGAGTGCCCGCTGACCAGATGTGAGGGGCAATGGAGATAGCAGTGGCCCCTCTATCCATGCTGTAAAGGGTGTCATGCGGGCCCAGTGGAAATCGGGGAGCTGAGCCAAAAGAAACTGAATTATTCTCCACCTTTCTTCTTTTAGCTTTAGTTCAGTTTTTGTCTGAATTCATATTGATCAGGGGCTGCCGAGGCTACGAGCCCAAAAGGCAATAGGCACCTGTTCAGTTTATTTGCTCATAGAAGAGAAACAAACCAGAATACTCAAGTTTCAAGAATCTATTTTGGATCATCCAGACTGGCTGTCTAGTCTGTCTATGATGGTACCTAGAAAATGACCAATGGGCCTTTCTTTGCACGGGCAAAGCTGAGCTAGGTTGGCAGTGCTGACTTCTCCTAGCCTACTGATGTGGAAGGGCTGGAGCTGGTAATGGAGGGGGCTCCTGCTAGGTTTTACATCCAAAAGAACCTCTTAGGTCTACTAATTTTAGACCGATGGAATATGTGAGAGTCATCATAACACAGAAGGAAGAGCAACCCGCCTACAAGTCAGAAGACCTGCATACAAGCCCCAGCTCCAACATGTATGAGCAGTATGACCTTAGGCAAACCTCGTGATCTTGGTTTACCCATTTGCAAAATGGTAACTTTAATACCTGTCTAGTTTATAGTTTCATGAAAAAAGCATTTTGTAAGCCTTTAAATGCTACTATTCACATAAGCTATTATAAAGTAGGCTGGTGTAGTGCAATGGGGAAAGGGAACGTGCATTTATTAAGTACCTACTGTGCATCAGGCATTAAGCTGGTACTTCAGCCTTTTAACCTCATCTACTAAGAGAGTCAGAATGCACTGGAGTCAAAAGACCTGGGTTCCTGTTGGAGCTCTACTCTTTCACTACCAACTACCTAAATGACCTTGGGCAAGTCACTTCCAGCTCTAAATCCTAGGATTTGTAAGACTCCAGAAGAACCTTAGAAAGCACTTACTGAAACCCCTTTACAAAACAATTCTAATGGATCAGCCAGAAAGTAGCAGGCCCAAGATTAGGCCTGTGAGTTCATTCCTGTACACTGGACATCTGCGAGGGAAACCGTCAAGGTGGCCTAGGCCAGCCTGGGGCTAAAAAGAGGACAAACCCCCTTCCCTCTCTTCAAGTCTGAAGGCCAGGCTTTCCGTACCCCCTGCCATAGCTACCTAATGGCAAAATTACAACACGCCCATAGCCCATTCTGAGCCAGCTGTGCCAACTGACGACCAAGAATGAACCTTCTCTCCTGCCCTTAATGATGACGGCGAGAGAACCAGAGACAGAGTGGGACAGAGAAAGAGAAACAAAGTGACAGGGAGGAAGAAGACAGCTGGACACACAGAGAGAAACACAGAGAAAGAATGAGAGGAGAAAGAAACAGAAAGATATTGGGAGAGACAGAGAAGACAGAAGGGGAGGTAAAGAAAGGGAGAGAGACGGACATTCAGTTACACAATGGGGTACCCAAGCAAAGACAATCCCAGTGACAGGAGACCCCGCCCCCCCTTGTTAGAGGCCTGCTCCACTAAGCTGTCATTTCCTATGGACCGCTCATTCTGGCTCTGGGGAGATGGGGGATGGGGAGGAGAGATCTAATCAGTCTCCTGAGTCTTTGATGAATTGTCAAACTATTCCTCAGAGCCTGATCTGTCCCCAAGTGAATAATTTATGAAGCTGAAGGAAGAATATAGCTTTGAGCTAAAGTAAAAGTTAAAAACAAAAAACCCCCAACCATCTGTGATGAAGCTATCTGGCCTGCTCAGCCCTGATGAATATCTGCACAGGCTTCAACTGAAGGCTTTTGTTAACACAATTAGCCACCATCCTTCCCAACATGTGTATGTACCCCCAGACACAGTGCTTTAGCTATTCAAAAACGACTCCAGTGTCCTGGACCAAGACGAGTGTACCCGGGCCCCTATTTTGTGCTAACGCATCAATGGGCCAGTGTGGATGAGCGCACTGAAACAGGAAAACCAATGTATGTGCCGCTAAAGCCTCCTTTACAAGATCCAGCACCTAAAACAGTGCTCAGAAAACAGTAGGCACTTAATAAATGCTCGTCAAATGAATGAACAGATGATAGTGGGAAATGTTTCCACTTATCTGGCCTGGTTGTCTCCAGACTGCATCCTGGTAAAGATCCCAGCCATCCCCATGATGCTGGAAATGTGGAGCCAGGCTTTTGTTTAATTTAAAAGCTAATATTTACAGAGGGCTTTAAGGGTTGCAAAGTGATTTATAAATATTATATTATTTTATCCTCACAACAACCCCGGGAGGTGGGTGCTATTATTAGCCCCACTTAACAGATGAAGTAGCAGTTAAGTGTCCAGGGTCACAAAGCTAGTAAGTCTCTGAGACCACATTTGAACTCCGGTCTTCCTGCCTCCAGACCCAGTGCCCTGTTCCAGGCACCTTGCAGCTCTAGACCTGGCATCCCATGGCCCCATGCATAGCTAGGTCTCTTTCAGTTCTAACATCTTAGGATTTTATGAACTAGCCTCTTCTCTCAGAAGGCTTCAGAAAAGGGAGGGCATGGGTCATGTGACTGGAGGGACTGTCATGAACAGGATTTGACTGAAAAGGGACTTGTCCTTTAAAAAGATAAGGGGAGCAGCCTCCCCACATTGACCTTCTAATTTAGCACAGACCAGAATGCAGAAAGGACAATTTTGCTTCCATGCCCTGGGGTGTAGGACAGAAAAGTAAACTATGAAAACTCTAGCGAATAATTTTTTTTTAAAAAATGCAATGATAATAAAAACAATTTTAAAAAGAAAACTCTAGGAAGGAGGAATGTGGCCCACCAGATTAACGGGAACAACATGAGGGTGCAACGGGTCCACTAAGACCTTTGGCTTTTCATGTAGGGCAGATGAGGTAGTAAGCTCTGCTCACCTCTCTCATGGCGGGCAGAGCAGCAGCTGGTAACAGTGCTCTGTATGTGGGAGGAGGGAAGGGAAGGTATCTGGGGTATGTACAGCCAGGGAGGGGTGGTCGTGCTTGGTTTAAAGCCAGAAGGCCCACCTGGCCTCATGTAAGGCCAAACCCACCCACAGGACCAAGGGGAGTTCATCTAATTCCATCCTTTTGTAGCTGAGCTTTTATGTCTAATTCTTTTAGGACATTAAGAATTACGTCCTTTATCCATGGGAGTATTATTGATGTATTTGGATGTTTGCACAGACCTCGACATTTTCCCCAAATCTCATTAATGCCTTCCTCCCTCTCTTGATGCAGTGGTGCCCCTCAGCAATGTCAACGCCCACTGCTCCAAAAACACCAAGCTGCTTAGGGAGGGGCAGCGGTTGGCTCTGTCCCCAAATCCCTTCCAGGGACTGTGCTGTTAATACTCTGGCCAAGAGAAGACAACAAAACAAATGCCTGGAGGGCTCGAATTTTATACAGAATCAACACTTGGCTGGAAAATTAAAGCAAAGAGCCCCAGGTCTGGAGCCATCTGACCCAAGGTTGAATCCTGCCTTGGCCATGTACTACTTGGGTGGCCGTGGGCACATTACAACCTCTTTCGGCCTTAGTTTCCTTATCTGTAAAATGAGGATGTTGGCTTAATGGCCTGTCAGGTCCTATCCAGCTCTGAGGCCCTCACTTTCTCCCTTTTGATTCCCTGAAACCAGGCCTTTGTGACCTGAAAAGTCCATTGGACCTTGCTGGTTTGACCCAGTTTTAACTGCCCTGTCCCCACCTGCCACCAAGTCAAGCAGCCAGTGGCAAGAGATGACCCATGCAGTAGCTCTCCACTGCTAGCTGGAACACGGAGCACTGAAGTCCACATTCAGTGCTGGATAATGATATTTTCCTTCTTCCTCAAACCAGCTCAGTTGTATGTGGGCCCACCCCTGCAAGAAGGCCCTACAACTGAAGGGAGGAGGGAAAGCACGGGGCCCTTACTTGCTTGCCTCGTTTTCCTGGTCTCCCCGTAGGTCCCCTGGGTCCTGATGTGCCAGGCTCTCCCTTTGGGCCCATTTCTCCCTGTAGAGAAGGAAGAGAAGGGAGAGGAAAATCAGGGGAGAGAAGAGCACTCCTAGCAACTGGATTCCACTTAGAAGCTCAGTGGGACATTCTTTCCAAATTTATCACTCATGAAGAAAAGGCAGGGGTGGAGGGCAGGGTATGGAAGACTGAAGACAAGTCTTCCAGGGAGGATGAGAGAGAAGGAAGATGTCTGGTGGCTAGAGGCGAGAGAGAAGCTGAGCCACACAAATCTGATGCCCAAGTGTTGGCAACAGATTCCCCTTTCTACCAGAGCCTGGACGAGAGAGGTAAAAAGACAGGAAAACTTCTGGGTCCTATCTGGTTACTCTGTCACCATGAACTGCTTGGCAAATGCTTAGAGTAAGTTTAAAAGAACCACAAAAACTCAAAAAGGAATTTTATCAGAGATTCTTCTTTTAAATTCCAATGTTTTTGCCCCAGCAAAATTCATCTGCGGGTCTGGAACAATCCTTGTCAGTTCCCATAATGCTCTTTCTGAGCAGGGTTTTGGAGTGTTAGTGGGTCATGGCCCTTTATTAGATCTCTTTAGAAAACTATTTTTCCTCCCTTAAATCCAAATTATTTTGATTGTTACTTCCTTTCCATTTTATTTTAATGGAACTTTGGCAGGGGTGGGGGAGGGGCCATATTTTTCTGACTTATGCCTAAAAGGTGAGTGTAAGTGGGTTATAGCACATGACCAGCGATGACGTGTGTAGAAGGAGTAGAATAAGAAAGAGAGGAAATGGGTGGTTGGAAAAGGTGGTGGGTGGGTCATGTAACAAGAAGGAAGGCTCACAGCTGGATACAGTGGTGCCTTTAAAATGTAAAGGCCTCCTGGTGCTAGGAAGATGTACAGTAGGATTTATGGGAGAAGATGGACAAGATGGTGTGGGATGTACTGTGGTCTGATCCCAGAGCCAACTGAGTGTGACCATATGGTTTCATGGTGAATAGTTTTCATTCAAAGTCATGAAGGGAAGGCAGGTATAAAGGTGGTAGATGTCACTAACCAAAGATCTGCCAATGAGCCAATGTCAAATGTGTCAACCACAAAAATTCAAAACCTCAAAATAGCCTATTTCCCCTGTTCTGCCCTATGTGTCTCCCCTATTTCCATCCAAGATTCCATATGTCTGACTGCTTGTTATTATTCTTTTGGCCATGTCTACTAGGTGACAGCTAGCTCATCCTCTCTGCTGTCTACAGCTCTAAATGCCCTGGCAATGCTTATTGATTTATAATTACCATTGCAAAGACAAGGTGCGTTTGTCAGAGGTTGGGCCAGAACATACAAGCCAAACAGCTGCCCCAATATTTATCAAGCCTGTGTTTTTGACGTTCAGTGACATGATAAAAATTCCCAGCAACAACCAGCATATAAGAATGATGCATTTTTAAAGGCCAAGCTTGTAAATCTGAAATTAGTTTCAATAAATGTAGTCAATACCCTGAATCTATCCTTTGCTAGGCATTATATAACTGCCCCCCCCAAAAAAATTCTTGCCTCCCCCCCTTAAAATCTATTATTTCCTCTATGGACCATTATTCCATGGTCAGCTTTAGGTAAAAGGGAGTGAGATAATTCATGGATAAAAGTTAAATTATTGTCGTATTAAAGACATTCAAGTATCATATACTTATCCCCTCTCCATCCCTTAAATGTTTTAAAGTTCATATTTAAACTAAATAAGCCAGTTATCTAGGAAGTTAGTTCAAATAAAGGCTTATTCACATAACATCTCTGAGACCTCTTTGTAAAGTGTTTGTTGGGCAATAAGATATATGAGCATAAGGAAAAACAGACTAAGACAGGATAAAAAGTGACCCTTTCTTCCAGAATAGTAGTCACAGGGAAACTTCTGGGTGTACTGTTCCATTTGGGGACTCCCTGGCCTCTGCAGAAAGTTCTGTGCGCGCGTGCGCGTGCACACACACACACACACACACACACACACACACACACACATTATTTACATTTTTATGTAACCATTCCTAGGACTCCATTAGCACAAAATTCTTGCAATCCCACCCTGCCCTTCTCCAACTGGAAACAGCCAGCATTTTCTTGATCTAATTTCTCTCCCAAGACTCAATTATGGGCATCACATATAGCCCTGTCTTAAAGGAGCATGTCCAAGGATGGAAAAGAGCATCCTTTAGATTGCTGAGATAATTACCAGTAGATAACAGGGAGAGATCTGCCTTCCTTGGCTCTCCTGTTTTGTCTTAGTTGCACTGAATGGAAATCTCTCGAGAATTATTTAACCCAATATGAAGAACAATCTTTCTCATAGGTTATCAAGGTAGTGAGGAAACGTGACATTTTATACAATATATGACAGCCCTGCCAATGAGATTCGAGTAGAATAAAAAATGTACTAAGAATCTGAAAATGTGGAAAATTAGGATGTAGTTACACTTACCAGAAAAGGATTCTATTAGTCTGTCTTAAAGACAGCATCCTAGGAAGGAGATGAGGTTTTAAGCCCCAAATGAGGTTTTCCATTGTCACTCCCCAGAATCCAGAGGAAGCCTCTTAATGGTGGTAAGTTAGGAGACAATAATACAGGGGCAGGAGCATCTCCCCCCTTCCCTTCTCTGCTTCCTCCAACCTTCAGGTACTCACTTTCTGTCCCAGCATCCCAGGAAGGCCTGGAAAACCCTGTGAAGGAAATACAGGCAGGGATCACCTGGGGATGGGTGGTTATCCACACCAGCTGTGGAGGGAGCCTTTTCCAAACGCAGCTACCTCCGTCAGTCAGTCTGGGGCCCAGCTGCTCCCCCACCTGGGTGACTGCCCAAAACATTACCTTTTCTCCCTTGGGGCCCAAGATGCCCTGGTCTCCTTTGGAGCCCTGGGGGGAAACCACAGGAGAGACAGGTTGTGTTAATGCCGAGTGAAAGAGTCACAGGACCCTAGATCAGAGAGCGAGACCTGCAGGGGACCTTGGACATGGGTTGGTTTAGCTGCCCCTCCACTGACAAATGAGCAAACTGAAAGCCCAGGGAGGGAGGGGAAATGACTTGCCCAAAATCACATCAGAGCAGGGATGGGATCTTAGATCCAAGCTCGTGTTTGAATGTGTGGAGCAGGAGATAGAGCGTCAGCTTGGAGTCAGGGAGACCCGAGTACACATCCTACCTTACCCACTTGCTAGGTGGGTGGCTCCTGGGAAGTCACTTAACTGCTCATCTGTTTCCTCAGTTTCCTCATCTGTAAAGGAGTTGGACTCAGTGGCCTCTAAGTTCCCTTCCAGCCCTAAATCTATGATGTTGTGGCCCAGGTCTCCTCCAGTGAATGAGGACATTAATCTGCAGAGAAGAGAGGCCATTCTACAAGCCCAGATGCCCCCGCTTTCAGCTCCACCAGGTGGCTACCTATGGTGGGGCTCCGCCCCACCAACCTGGTGTCTAGAGGGGCTAATTCAGGTGGGGGCTACAGGCCAGAGCTGCCCACTAGGATTTTGCTGTATATTACTCTGGCAGAAGCATGGAGAATGGATGCTCTCAAGGCCAAAGAAAAGGCTCCAGAAGAGAAACCAGGAATTGAGGGAATGTGGAGGTTTCAGCTCTACTTCCATCTGCCTTTTTTTTTTGGGGGGGGGGAGGCAATCAGGGTTAAGTGACTTGCCCAGGGTCACACAGCTAGTTAAGTGTCCTAGCTGCCCCCTCCCCCTGCCTTTTGACTGGGTTGGTCAGACCCCAGTGAACCTCAGTGGCTCTAGCACACGCTAGCTTTCTCCTTCCCCTTCCCCTCCACAATCAGTTCTTCCTGGATCTCGTCTTGGAAGGAGGTACGTGCACCCTCATGGGGTCAGAAGTAGAGAGAAGTGGGGCTGCTCTTGGAGGTGGGCCTGAGACTGACAGAACTGATTTCCAAGCAATTGTAGCCTTAGAGAGACTAGCTGAACTGGACATCATGTAGAGCTAGCTGAAGATGAACTTTTAATGATTTTTTTTACTATTTAACATGCTAAAAGTCTGGGATATTTTTAGAAATTAACACCCCAACGGGCGGTTTCTGCTGACATGTTTATCTTCCACAGAATTCTTCTGATGCCCCTTGGGGGCAGGGAGGAGAACCTGGGACTCTCAACAACACTGGGAGGTAGGGGCTATTATGATCCCCATTTTACAGATGAGGAAACCAAGGCAAACAGACTAAGTGACTTGCCCAGGGTCACAAAACTAGTAAGTATCTGAGGCTGGATTTAAACTCCCTGACCTGACAGTAACTGAGATCTTCTGACCCACTCATTCCAAAAGAACCTTCCTCATTATTTTTCCTTATGAAAGGTTTGGGGTTGTCCCACTGAGGAAAAGGTCAAAAGTGGCTTGGAGCATTTTATAAGATGGACTGAACTTCCAAGGGGCTCCAGGAAATAGAATCCAAGGGAAATTCTGGGTGATCAGGTAGGGTGTGGGTATCCTGTTATCCCAAGAGCTTATCTGATTTTAGAATGGGCTGCCAGGGAGGGAGGGGGCTCTCCTTCCCCAAAGGTCTTCCAGCAGAGGCAAGATGACCACTTGTTGGGTACGGAAGGGGGGGCTCCTTTTGGGCAAGGTGGGATTAGCGGCCACCAAGGTCCCTTCCAACTCTGGAGCTCTTTGTTTCTGGTGCCGGGCAGCTGGGACGCTGCACTATTGTCTCCCTCCAGAATCCTTGCCAGCCCACCTTGAGTGATTCTGAGAAGGGATCCGTAGGCTTCCCAGCCAAAAACGTACATGGCAGAACAAAGGTGAAGAAGCCCTAATATGGAGACATGGCCTCACATTCCATTGAGCTAGCTATGGGGTTCATTGATAACATACAAATAATTTAACAGATGAAGTATTTTGCTGATATATGTGACCTGACCACCTCACTGCCAGCAGGGGCTTCTGAGGAATAGTCCAAAAGAAACTAGGCCTGTCCAGAACTTCATAGGCTATTCAGAATGGTCTACAGGAGTCAGGGTCTAAAGTCAATAAAAGAAACTGGAAACTCTTGACAATCCCACTGGTCCCAAGTAAGAAGACCCCTGGCACCTTTAATACCCCAACTATGAATAGGTCTGATACGGAAGCTGGTAGAATTCCTTTGGGTATTATTACTTAAGGGTTGAAACAGTCATCCTAGCTCTCTCCACCTCCATGTCCCCTGTCCTTTCTCTGTGAGGGAAAGGACACATCTATGAGACCATTTCTCAGTATGGCTTGTTGTGAGCCTGTGGCTAACTTCCGTGGCCCCATATTCATCCACCTCACTGGTTTTGGATCGTAGTACTTCAGTCCTCTCATCAGGGCCCCTGAGAAGATGCCAACTCCTAAAGAAATGCCCACCCACCCAGCCCGCCAGCCCTCAGCCTCCCTCCCTCCCTCCATCCTCACTTCTAGTCTACTCTCACATTCCCTTAGGCACTTACACAACCAGTCTCTAATGGACCATCTTATTGCCACACTGACCTTTTCCCCTCTGGTTCCAGGGTAACCCTGAAAGAAAGCAGAAAGCCCTTTTACAATCCATACACCTACATTTGCTGCACAGCCTTTGAGATTAGCATAGCCAAGTTCTCGCTCACATGAAAGAGACCAGGCCATGCAATGATTTAAATACATCCCTACATTGATTCTAAGGTTTTTACTAGAGCCTCTGGGGGTCAGAATTCAGGACACGCTGGTTGAGTTTCTAGGGGTCCGAAGGAACACCATGTTTTTCTTCTTCATCTCTGTAAGGTGTAAGAACGTCTTCCCTTCAGCAGCCCTTCCCCCCATTCTTTTGCCTGGGCTTTTTTTTGCAATAGAAACAAACAGGGTTGCCATCGTAAGCAGGAGCCATTTTTTTTCCCTCTGAGCATGACCCCCCGTGGATAGTATTTATAGAGAACGCTTCAGAACAGGGCAAGAAGCATCCCAGAGTTAAAGAAGTGCAGCTAAAGCCATTGTCCAAGCACAAAACAGTAGCCCAGCGATCTCACTGTAAGGCTATGTCACGGCTTGGAGGTGACCTGGGAGGCTACACCATCAGAGCACAAGCACTGGCAAGGTCTGCCACGCTGCAAGGGTTTTAGGGATGGTCCTGGCAACAGATCAAGGCTGGTTTCTGAGGGACAATCGAACTAAGTAGAGAGAGCTTCATCACTGTTAGGGGAGCTCTTCTGGTGATAAGACCTTTGTCCATGACAACCCATGACATCTCTCTCTCCCTCTCCCCTTCTGTATATGAATCATAAAACTTTTCATGCCCTCTGACCTTGAACAATGAATGAACTAATGGAAAAAGCATTTATTAAGTACTTACTAAGTGCAAAGCATGTGCTAAGTGTTGATGATACAAATAAAAAAATAAAGAGAGTACGGGTTTTTAGGCACAAATAACCCACTACCAGGACTTACGTATTCTAAAAATATTAGGGATAGGAAAAAAACAACAACCAATCTATCCAAAAAGATATCTAGCAATGGCGGTGTTATTCATAATAATACATGAATTCAATAATATAAGCAATTCATATTATTCCTAAGGGAAAAACAAACAACTGGCTGCGGCATGGCTGAAGAAATTGTGGAACATGAATATAATGGACAGTTTGGTGCTCTAAGAAATTACCAACACGAAGAGTATAAAAACTAAGAGACCTGTCTGACCAAATGAAGAACCAAAATGTGCCCACTGCCTACAATTGGGCAAATAATACAATACTCTTTCCATGGGTCAGGGACCTGTGCTAGACACAGCTCCATTGATAACTGAGAGACTCAGGAGACTGCCAGAGAATCATAGAGGTTAAACGAGTTTCCTGTGTAGGTCTCAGCTAGTAGGTGTCAGAAGTGGGATCTGAACTCGGGACTTCCTGAAGCCACTATGCTGTTCTGCTTTTCAATAAGAACAGCAACAAAATCCATAAAAATAGAAGAAAAACAGGTCAAAGGAGAAGAGAGAGAGAGAGAAATCAGCTGATTTAACCACCATCTTGTTAAAGTTACATTGCATAATTTTAAACAAACTGCAAATGAAAGAAGTGTGTCATTTCATGTACAATTGTTCTTTTATTCACATTTGTTCTTTTGCAAATCTGTTTTTGTTGACTATCACTAAATTTTCAATAAATAATATTTAAAAAACACCACATTTTACTGACAATGTCAGTTTGTTTTGTTTTTGTTTTTCACTAGGCAATGAGGTTAAGTGACTTGCCCAGAGTTAAGTGCCTGAGGCCAAATTTGAACTCAGGTCCTCCTGACTCCAGGCCCGGTGCTCTTATCCGCTGTGCCACCTGGCAGGACAATGTCACCCTTACTAAATCTTCACCCAGAATTAGGAACAAGTAACTCCAAGGTACTCTTTTATTTCCAGCCCAACTTCTGGTGAAGGGGTTAATGAATAGTGATTGGTATGAATACGTCAGAGGAGCAAGCGAAAACAAGCTAGACCCTCCACAAACATCATTTGCCCCTGAAAAAGTGAGAGCTAATTGTAGGACCAGGATGAAATAAAAGTGTACCCAATGAACGATCACCAGTCAGTGCCATGAGAACTGACTGATCTCTTCCCACCAGGCACTCAGTGAAGCAGAGCACATGAGCTTCCCTTTAGATCATGAATTCCATCAAACTAGACATTGGAGGCTTTCATACTGAAGCAATAAGGCCTATACCTTAGAGTTGTTGTTTTTTAACCACACTTGAAATTGAGCCCCCAGAAGTTTATGTGACCAGCCCAAGGACACTCTGCTGGTAGCTGTAAGGGCCCAGGTCTCTGGATGCTCTGCCAGCCACACCATGCTAAAGAGGGCACTGAGTGGGTCTAATCTGTGACATGAAGCTGAGTCATGAAGGAGTTTCAGTCCCGGGTGGGGCTTAGAAAGGCATCCTGATAGCTTGGAGCCATTTTCACTGCCTTTATTCCTCCATTCCCTCTGCTTCTACATTCTGCCGCTGTTTGGTAGAGGGAAGAAATATCCACAGTGTGCCTAGTACTGACCTCAGGGCCTACAGCCTAGGTTGGCTTCAACAGAGAACTAGAAAACAAAATCTGAAAATGCTCTGGTTCACAAACCTGAGAGCCCACAGGTCCTCTTGTACCTGGTAATCCCATCAAGCCCAGATCACCTTTTTCACCCTGCAGGGGTTGGAAGAAAGAAAGAAAAGGTTACAGTTCCTATGAGAACAAGCTGCCCAGAGCCATTGCACCATCAGTGAGCGAGGGAGACAGCAAAACCAGCTCATCCTGGACAGAGTGAATGGTGACCTCCAGATAGCATGTGTGAGCTTGGAACACCTCTCTTACCTGATCTCTAAAATCCCCTGAAAAGGGGAATTTTGTTTCCCTATGAGAGATCAGGCTAAAAATGTAAATATCCTTTCACAAGGCCAGAGATCATTGAGTCTCAGAGTTGGAAATCCCCTCTACATTTCCCCCCACGAATGGCATCCAGCTTTGGCTTAAAGACCTCCAATAAGGGGGTCCCCTTTGGAGGAACTTGAGCAGGAAGTAGGCTCCTCAACCAAAGCCTAAATTCACCCTTGGCAACCCTGGCAGCACACATGAGAGTTTCTGGTACTGGCCTAGGTTTCGTGTCTGGAATTTTTATTTTGAGCAAGCAAAAGATAATAGGACGAAAGATTTTAGACTTGGAAGAGACCCTGGAAACCACTTACTCCAGATAAAGAAACTGAGGCCCAGAGAAGTAAGGAAGTGACAGAACCTCAGAGCAGAGAAGGCCCTCTGAGGACATCTACTTCACTCTCCATCCCAATAAAACTGAATTCCCTTGACTGAAATTCACCCCACGGCTCCTAGAGCAGCTGTGTTTTACACTAAGGAGGGATGCCTGTAGATATCTCTCCTCTGCCCCACCCCAACTGCCCACTCTGCCCCTCTTCCTTTCCAATTTTGGGGGTTTAATCAAATACACCCCTGCCAAAAATGCCCCCTGGTCTTGCCCAAGATCCAAATGTTTTCTTTCTCAGCTGACACCCTCCTTTCCTGACAGCTGCTGACATAGCCTAATTTTGCTCTATTTTAATGAGAGGGCCACCAAGGTTTGCAACAAGGTATAAAATGGCTATCTATTTGGCTTCAGCTAGGTGAGAAAGCAACCTAAGTCGTCAACATGCTCACTAAGGTGTAAATGGCCCATGCTCTATCCTCTCCTGAGAGCAGGTTTGACCAGGGATGGGAGAGAACTTAGTGGCTTGGGGCAGTCCCTGGAGGTGGGGCGGGAGTGCAGAGATGCTCTGGAGGAAAGACCCTGAGCAAGGATCCTTTCTGGGGTCTCCCCAGCAAGTGGCTGCTCATCCCCTGCTCAGGCTGCCCCAGTGAGGGAGGGAGCCCATCCCTTTGGGAAATGGTCACACAGGTTGTCGTCCAAGATCGAACCTACACGTCCTGACCCTCCAGGAGAGTTGTGCATCCTCTCTGAAGCCCACAGGCACAGAGCAGCAGGAAAGATGGCAGCCTCTCCTCCTTGTCCCTCTGCTGGCAGACCAAGCTTTTCTGCATGGCTCCTATGGAGCTGGTGTGCCATCTTCCCCTCCCCTTGCTGATCTGGTGCAGTGTGAGGTCCAAGAGGCTCAGCACTTACCTGAGGTCCGGCAGGGCCTGGCCAGCCAACAGGCCCAGGCATTCCGGGGGCTCCTGGAGGGCCGGGTCTACCCTTTGAAGACCAATAATAACAGTCATGACAACTGGGTTAGTTTCCCTCCAGTGCTAGAGTCATCGTAAGAGCTGACACTATGGTCTCACCTTATCTCTTGAGCCTCACTACAACCCTTACAGATCAGGAAACTGGAGCTTAGAAAAATTACATGATTTCCCCATACTCTCACAGCTATTAAACGCTGGAGGCAGGAAGGGCCAAGTACAACTTCTTTGCCTACTGCTCCATGCTGATTTTTTCAGCATGTACACGGAGGCAAGGGAATTGGACTCCCTCAGATCAAAGCTCCTGGCTCCCACTGGACTCCTAATAACTTGCAGAGGAATTATCTGTGGCCAATTCCCATCTAAGCATCCCACTCTCTGGCATGCTCACTCCCCACCCCCAGCTTGATATCTAGCAGAAATGATTAATGTTTTGTGCCACTGACTCTGCTGTCTTCTCAGAAGAATATTTTTAAGGGCACAAAATGAAATATACATAAGATAACAAAGGAAATCAATTATGTTGAAATACTTATCAAAATCTTTCACAAAACAAGTACATAAACCCCAAGTTAATAATTCCTGCTGGTACAGGATGGGCTGACTGTGTCCACTTGGAAAATGCAGTGAGAAAGGAGAGAAGAATATAGATCTTCTGGTATTTTTGTTTTCACCCAAGAAATCTCCCTCCCCCTCCCTTCAGGGGTAGGTACCCTGGGACACTGGTGAGAAATAGGGCAGTGCCTTTGGCTGTACAAGAAGGGAGGGAGCCCAGCAAAAGGGGATGGAGGGGCAGCTAAGTGGCACAGTAGATAGAGCACCGGTGGGCCCTGGAGTCAGGAGGAACTGAGTTCAAATCCAGCCTCAGACACATGATACTCACTAGCTGTGTGACCCTGGGCAAATCACTTGACCCTGACTGCCTAGAAAAAAAAAGGGGGGGAGGGATGGGGGAAAATACTGAAAAGGAATGTGGATCCACCATTGCTGACAAGCTATGGAATATAGACCTGAAGGGCTCTTACTGAAAATGATTTCCTGTAGATAAAGACGAGCTTCGCCAGGAAACTGAAGCAATTGTGCATATGGAACCGAATGTATTCTGCCTTCCTTTGTCACCAAGACCTAGCCTTCCAGTGTCAGAATCCACTGGCCACAAAGAGTAAGGATGAACCCCTACCTTTTCTTAGGGGAATCTCACTCGCTTGCTTGTCACTCTATGAGGGTCTTGTTCAACTCTGGCAAAGCTCAGAATCTGGTTGTTCATTATGATCTTAGGGGAACCCCATTTATTTCAGCTGGGAAAATAGACAACACCTCCGAATCCCCTTCAGGTTGCTGGGTACTTCATTCCTCCTTAACTGGCCAGTTCAGAAGAACCAGTTCTGTTAGCGATTTGAGGCCGAATGGCAGTGAAGTGAGGGAGTCCAGAGATCTGGCAGCCCGGAGTCAAATTCAGGATGGGCTGACTATGGCCTGGCAACGAAGCCATTGGTTGCAACCTCTGGCTCCACTGGACATTCCACTATGGCTGGCTCAGCGTCTGTCACTGCCAAGGGGCAGGGGGACATGGTACCTCACTATGGCCAAGGTGATTTCATCCTGGTAGCACTAGGGATGCCCACACCTGCCAACAGCGCCGGCGTCAAAGGACATGAATTCCTGACGGCCAGCAAAACGTAAAGGTGGAAGGAGGGAGGGAGGGAGGGAAGGAAGGAAACCCAGAACTGGGTTATTTACTTGACACTGGCCCAGAAAAATACACTTACCTTTCTTCCTGGCCGGCCAAGCTCCCCCTGTGGAGAGAAAGGACACATCAGCTACACTGAAGTGTCAGAGGGGTTCGTGTGGCAATGACTCCAGATTCACACACTCATGCTCTCTGCTTTGATCATAAATCTAGAATTGCAAGAGAATTGCAAGCTGTCACCTAGTCCAACCTTATTCTTTAAAAGATGAGTAGCCTTGGGCCCACAGAGATGAAGTGACTTGTCCAGAGTCACTTAGCCAAAGTCTCTGGCTTCAGAGCCAGCTTCTTGCTACCCTACTCATCATTTCAGAGCACCCAGGTATGTTAGGGGCACAAGAGGAAAGGCCAATGAGAAGTTTCAAAGTCCATGTAGCCCTGGCAGCGATGTGCCAGGACCCCTCAGGGCCATGGCATCTGCCTTCACCCTCTGCACCTCAGCAGGACGTCACTGGGTAGAAGAAGGTTTGTCTATTTGATCCTGCCCAGCCCTCAATTTATTTCTTGTTGTTAAGCAAAAGGCTCGGTGCTGATCTGCAGCAATGCTGTTCCTTATGTCCTTGGAGAAGACTATTTTTCTTTGACTAGGCAATGGGGTTAAGTGACTTGCCCAGGGTCACACAGCTAGTAAGTGTTATGTGTCTGAGGCCACATTTGAACTCAGGTCCTCCTCAATTTAGGGCTGGTGCTCTATCCACTGTGCCACCTAGCTGCCCCTCCTAAAGAAGACTTTTAAGTCACTTTTGGTAACATATCAATATCTCACCATCCTTAAAGACCCAAATCTGAGCCAATTTGGCCTTGCCCCCCCACATTCATACACACAGACTCAAACTCTCTCTCTCTCTCTCTCACATACACACACACACACACACACACACACACACACACGTCTAGTCTGAAGAAAAGGTCAGTACTCACTTTTTCCCCTTTTGGTCCTCTTACTCCAGGAGTCCCCGGGGGACCCTGCATGATGGAGACAATAATGTTTAACAACGGTACAAGACATCTCTGTTTCCTACCATGCTTATGGATGAGAGAGCCTCACTCATTTCAGGGAATGACGTTAGCCCATAGATACTCTCTCTACAAAAGCAATGATAAAGCCAGCCCTGGGCACAAGAAGCCCCGTGGCATACTGAAAAGAGCCCAGTATTGGAATCAGAAGACTGAATCTCTGCCAGGTGCTTTCTGTCTGTATGACTTTAGGCAAGTCAACTCAGCTTCCTCATTTGTAAAATTAGAGGACTGGACTCACTAACCTCTGTGCTTTCTTCCAACCCTGAATTTACAATCCGTGCCCCTTTGAGGCAGGGATCAGGAGGGTAAGTATTATGTGGCCTGTGACCAGTTAAGTGGACATGCTTTCCGTGGCAGACCCAGGACCCCAGGAGATACCCCTAATTCCTACAGAACAAACTCCATCTCCTCCTCCTCTTCTCTGTGCCTGCTTAGGTTCCATTCTGGACTTCGTTCTTCCTAGGCTGCCATACTGGCTGTCCTCACAGGTGTCCTGCTCCTACCTCCAATTTCCTGAGACAGAAGCTCTTCCATGTTTTACTCGCCTTTCTGGGCTATTTGGTGCGTCAGTAACATCGGGAGGGCCTCTGTGCACTTGGTAAGAACATCTGAAGAGGCATAAAATGACCTTATTTTCCAAAATGAGCGATGTGACTACAGTTCCTGACTCAACAGCTATTCTACCCAAGCCTTCCCAGGCTGCTCTGCTTCCAACAGGGAAATCAGACTTTGTTAACGGAGAAGGCGTTCTTCTTGGAGGTCCCCAGCCCAAACCTAGTCAGCAGCAGCCTCGGTAATCTTCCTGCTCCCTATATCATCCATAAAATGCCTTCTTAAAACAGGAGGAACTGTCCAAGAAAATTTGGCATTTTTATTCCCTGGGTCAGCCGCAAAGCTGAGATGAGCTCTGGCTTGGAAATGAGGAGTCCTGCAGAGTGAGCAATACTACCGCTTCCAATGACCCTTCCAAGGGAGATGCTATTTTCTGCTCTGCCTGTCTGAGAGAGACTCACTCAGCTAATTGCTTTTTAAAGTCCCCAGAATTGGGGGCTGGGGCTGGGGCTAGAAATCCATCAAAGTTCCCAGCCACGTTACAGAAGCCTGAGACCTAAAGGCTGCCATGCTGACTGTGAATGCTCTTTTGAATTGTGGAGCTAAGACCTTTGGTCAGGATGACAAAGGGGGGCCCTTCCCCATGCTCACCCCCACATTTCTTTTGGGGGTGTTTTCACTCCTAAGGCAGCAGAACTGCTCCTGTTTCTTTTCACAAGGGATGCGGTCAACAAGCATTCTAGAATAATGGAACTAGAACAAGGCTCAAGAACAAGCTGTGTTTTCTTTTATGTGAGCTAGAGGTTCTAGAAGTATTTGTGTTTTCCTTCATGCCAGCTGCAGGTTCTAAAGTGATCTGTGTTTTCTTTTATATGGGCTCAAGGTTCTAGAACAGTCCAGGTTTTCTTTCACTCAAATGACAGTTTCCAGCACAGTCTGCTGATTAAAGCGGCCACTTCCCCCACCTGCAGCACTCTCAGGTCGACAGGGCACAACAGCCTGGTAAGGCAGCCAGTGTAATTACTCTGAGCTCCATTTTACAAATGAAAAGCTGAGGCGCAGGGAACTTAAATAGCCCGCCATGCCAATAAACGCCAGTGTCTCCCTATTAGCTCTAGGATCAAATATAACATCTCCTTTTTGGCTTTTCAAGCCCTGCATAGTCTGGCCCCTTCCTACCTTTCCAATCTTCTCATACCTTACTACCCCTCCACATACTCTTCCATTCAGTGGCACTGACCTCCTGGCTAATCCACGAACAAGACCCTCCCTCTTTTGGCTCTGGCTGCCCCCTGGTCTGAGACACTCTCCCTCCTCATCTCTCCCTCCTGGTTATCCCGGCTTTCCTCAAATTGCAGTTAAAATCTCATCTTTCCCGGTGCTTCATTACAGTGCCTTCCCTCCGAGATCACCTCCAATTCACCCTGTCTCTGTCTCGTGTCTGCCTAATTGTCTCCAGGTAGCTCCTCCATGAGACTATGAGCTCCCTGAGGCAGGAGCTGTTTGTGTTTAGTTTTTTTGCCTTTCTCTGTATCCCTAGCACTTAGTACAGGGCCTGGCACAGTTAGTAAATGCTTGCTGGGGTCACACAGCTGAGAGGTGAACCCATGCCTAGCCTCTCCCCACTATGCCACGATATCATTAATGCCCACAATAAAAAGTGCTTCCCATAGTGAGAAGTGCAGAGGCCACCATTCAGATAGAAATATTTCCTTGTGACTGTTGCCTGCAAACATTGACAGAAGTGCGGAGGCAGAACCAGGGCCAGCCTAGGCCCTCTACTGCTCGGGAGTCTGTGCCCACAGGAGGGAGATGCACTTGATTCTTTAATGTCTCCCACTTGTGAAAGCAGGAATTGCAACCCCAGGACCAAAGGCCCATTCTCCTGCACTTAGAAGAGATCTCTCTCTCAGGTGCCTTCAAAAGAATTTCTATTAAAAATAATCACTCACAAGTTGGAGAGAGACCCTAGGCCCAAAGGCTTTGAGAGAGTGGATGTAGAGATTAGGGAGTTAACAAGCACTAATGTGCTTAGCGTGTATAGGGTACTAAGATTACAATGACAAAAATGAAACTGGTCTTGCCCTCCAGAGAGTCACTGGCTCTCACACATTCCTTTATTCACTACCTATTTTCAGTTGATTGCCTCTGCCAGCTGTTTGGCTTTTATCTTTGTTTACACGGGAAGAGCCCTTAATGCTAATTCTCAGGAGCACCCGGAGGATGGGAACTGGAGAGCTCCCCAGAACTCCATTTCTGTGCACACCTCCCAGATATTGCTTCTGCCACCTCCCTGATCCTAGGTAGCAGAGAAATGTCAAGAAAGGGATTTTACCTTGCAGCCAAAGTGGATAACCAGCTCCTCCTCTCACTCAGTGTGTCACCTCCTGTGGAAACACTTCTCACACTGTAATGCCCTCCTTGCTCAGATTTTCCTTCAGCATTTGTCTGGCTCTCTTCTTAGCACTCCCTACCTCATATTAGTTATCTGCATACATATTTTCCTTCTAGATGTAAGATTTCCTTGAAGGCAGGACCTGTTTGCTTTGTCTACATCCCCATCACCTAGCATACACACTTTGAACTGAACTGAACTGAAAATTCAGTATATCATCATGGCCGGATGATGGAACTGGAGGCATAAACTAAGGAAGTATCAAGATAAACTATTTTTAAAAATAAAATGTTAAGGGAAGCAAACACCAGTGTAGAATAAATTCCATGTAGAATATAAGCTCCTTGAAGGCAGGAATCACTTTCATTTTAGAATTGTATCCCCAGTGCCTAGCACAGTAACCCTGAGCACAGTAGGTACTTAATAAAGATTTGTCGAGTTTTATTTCATTGAACGCATCTTAAAGCTTTAAACAGAAAATACCAAGAGAGGGCTCAGAAGATGATACTAACCTGGGGGCCTGGAGGCCCAGGGGGGCCAAGGGATTCTTGAACACATGGAGACTGGGTTGTCTGTAGCTCTAGAAAGAAGTTTGACATATCCGGGGACAGAAGCTTCAACAGAAAACAATATACAGGATGAAAGGTTAGAGCCAGCATACAAGTCACAGGGTAGCCAACTCATTAGATGGAACTACTCAAGAATTAGCCAGTTACCCATTCCCTGGCTGGTTTCCAGCCTCCTGCTGCCACACCTGTATTCTGCCATCTTTTGTGTTCCTGGGATCTTTAAAACCAAGGATGGTCTGTCCTGGATGGCCAATGGCAACTTTTAAAGAAGTTAGGAATGCACATGTGTTACAAGAGTTTTGTTTTTCTTTTCTTTTTCTTTCTTTTTAATTGGGGGGAGGGGTCAGGAGGGAGAGAAAATCAGTGTTTGTTCATTGAGAAAAGAATGTTTTAAACAAGTTAGGGAACACGTTGCAGTGTCCCTCACACCAAACCTGGGAGCTTCCCAGATGGCCTAAGAGCCCCAAGAAGGGCCGTACACACTCACACACATACACACATCTCCATAGTTACATATTCCTTTTCACCTTAGAGGGACCTACTCTCAGATGGTGTCCGCAGACAACAGGAATGGGAAACTGGGATAAATCAGTGTCCTTTGCCTCCCTAAAATGGGTGGTATGTTTTGGCAATAAGAGAATTTTACTGGCCAGCTGATATTTAAGGGAAAAAAAAGGCAAAGAGAGGGAAATTCTGCTTCTGAGGTAAAGCTAACTAGAGCTGAGAAAATGGAAAGTTATAGGTAGACTTGACTTCTTTTCAGGGGCACTGGCCCCAGAAAGACACTGATGACTTTATAACTCAGAATAACACATGAGAAGAAATTTCCTGCAACAGTTGATGTCTTTAACAGGAAGCCCCCAAATCCCCTAAACTCATGGAGAGCCAAGCCAACGCCTAAACCTACACAATACATGTACTTTCAGGGACCAAGCTGAAGAACTAGGGTAGCAGGAAAAGTTCCCTGGGAACAGAGAGCTTTTTGTCTGAGGAGGAATCCAGCAACTTCCTCCTCCAACAAGTCCCAAGATACTCACAGAATTCCGGCCCCCTCTGAAAAATGGCGGTGGAAACATTGGCGGAGGAGGAGGGGTCAACAGGCAGCATCCTTTCTGACTACCCCGTTTCTTCTCTTCCAAACCGGGAAGGGCTGTGCAGAGAAAGCTGTCACTCAGTGCCAGGGTGTGGGAAAGAAGTAAGAGTCAGGGTCCTGTGCTTTACAATAGGCAGTATAGAGGTACTAAGAAAACCAATCCTGTCTCCCTTCCTACAGTCATCAGGGGGCCTGATTTCATCGGAGTTTGACCCATTGGGATCAGACCATCTGTTTCACTCCTAAAATGCTTCATAACCTGCCTAGGCTTGATGAGCAGGTTTAACAAATATATTGATCAATTTGATCAATATGTGCTAATTACATCCCCAATAAATATTTAGTTTTTATTTTACATGCAAAACCCCCCAACCAACAACAGCATCAAGTAACAATAAAGATGATTCCTCACAGCATTTAAAGACTGACAAAGCACTTCCCAAGAAAGCGGTGAAAATATTAACGTTTAACACGAGGCTTAAAGAAGTTAGGTAATTTGTCCAAGGTCACACAGACAGTAAATGGCACAGCTGAGACTCCAACCTTACTCTCCTGACTACAAGTCCAAAGTTCTTTCTACTATTTTATTCAATTCAACAAACTTTTACTAAGTGCCTGCTATGTGCCAGGTTTAAAACCTGGTAGGGACAAGCGCTGAACACAAATAATACCAGTCAAGGCAGTCTATGCAACGTTAATGGTGTAAATGAAGAGTTCAGAGGAGAAAAGAAGGGTCCCTTCCAGCTGGAGCACTCAGGGAAGCTATCAGAGGACAAAGTATTTGAACTGGGACTGAAGGCAGGGATTCTTAACTCGGATAGACTTCAGAGCGTCTGTCATCTTGGATGGTGGAAAAAAAAACAACACCTTTATTTTCATAAACCTTTGTAACCAACCCTATGTACTTTATTTTATTCATTTAAAAACATGATTCTGAGGAGTCTTATCAGCTTCAGCAGGCTGTACCAAAGGGATGCATGGCACAACAAGAACCCTGAAGAAAATATTTCAACAGGCAGAGATGGGGGTGGGACAAGCAGAGCTGGGACCAAGGATCAGAAAGGTAGGCAATTACCTGGAACGCGACTGGGCACCGGGGCACAAAACAAAGGACATTTCTTATTATTTTTCACAAATTCACTTATATTTAAGGCCAGAAAATCCCACGCTTTGTGGAACATAGATATTTGTTTTGTGAGAACACTTAATATTCAAGACCCTTCACTGGACAGCAAGGCACAAGGGGCACAATTTTGGAACCTTGCCCAAGGAGCACAAATGCCTTGTCTGGGCTTTTGGGAGGACGGATAGCAGGCTGAAGGAATGGCAAGATCAGAGCAAAGATCAGGAGGTATTACCACAGCTAGAAAGTTAATTCAGAGTGTGGTGGGAGAGGGAGGGGAGGGGAGAGGAAGAGTGAGGGGGAGAGAGAGAGAGAGGGGTGGGGAGAAAGCAGAGAGGAGGGAGAAAGTGCAGCTGTTTGCGCTAGAAGAGTGCACTAGAGTATCTGCCTTCACCAGTACCGTACATTGTTAATATACTTAAAGTAACAGAAGAGAGAGTCATTGCTGGGGTATTTGAGACTGCAATTCTGCAGGGACAGAGTCAGATAAGGGGTGGTGGTGGGGGGACAGCAAGTGGTAAAATTTAGGTCCCTAGGGTATTTCTGCCCTTTGTGCGTCAGGGTATCGGGCTGGAATGCCGGTATCCTGTGCTCTAGGTGACTCTTCCCTACCCCCTACTACACAATTTCTCCCTGAACAGAAACTAAGAAGGGTGCAGAGAGCCACCATTCAGATAAACCATTTGAAACAAAATTTGACCTTACAAACTTTTCACCATTGTTTGAGCACTATGGGAAGAGGGTGGGGAGGCACTAACAACCAGGACCCTCACTCTGTATTACCCTCATCCAGTTTTTTTCATACTGTCCCACATTGTCAAGGCCTGTCAATTTCACCTCTCTAGCCTCTCTTGTCAATGTCACCTTTCCAGCATCTGTTGTCTATTTCACCTCTGTAGCATCTCTTGTTGACTTCCCCTCTGTAGCATCTCTCCACTTCTCTCCTCTGACACTGCCACCTCCCTGGTGCAGATATGCCCTCATCACTTCATGCCTGGACTAGTGCAATAGCTCCTGAGGCGTCTGCCTGCCTCAAGTCTCTCCCCACTCCAATGCATCCTTCACTCACTCATCTGTCAAAACGATTTTCCTAAAGCACAGGTCTGACCATGTCACTCCTCCTACTTAGTAAATTCCAGTGGCGCCCTGTTGCCTCCAGGATCCCATACAAAATGCTGAGCCTGGCATTCAAAGCCCTTCATATTCTAGATCCCTCCTACCTTTTCAGTCTTCCCACACCTTCCTCCACAACATGTCCTCTTTGATCCAATGACTCTGGCCTCTCAGCTGTTCCATGAACAAGACCCTCCAACCCTTGGCTCTGAGAATTTCCTCTGGCTGTCCACCATGCCCAGAATGCCAAATGCCTTCCTTGGCTTCCTTTAAGAACCAATCCTACCTTCTACAGAAAGCCTTTCCCAACCTCTCTTAATTCTAGTACCTTCCCTCTGTTACTTACAGGCATGCCTCGTTTTATTACACTTTGCAGATACTGCAGGGTTTTTTTGTTTGCTTTTTAAACTGAAGGTTTGTAGAAATTCTGCATGGAGCAAGGCTATGGGTGCCATTTTTCCAACAGCACATGCTTACATTGTGTCTCTGTTGTCACATTTGGGTATTTCTCACCATACTTCACATTTTTTATTATTATCATATCTGTTACGGTGACTTGTGACCAGTGATCTTTGATATTACTACTGTAATTGGTTTGGAGTACCACAAACTATGCCCATATGACAATGAACTTCATTGATAAACGTTGTACATGTTCTGAATGCTACCAACTGGCCATTCCCTATCTCTCTCCCTCTCCCTGGGCCCTCTATATTCCCTGAGACAGAACAATACTGAAATCTGGCTAATCAATAACCCTATAATGGCCTCTAAGGTGCAAGTGAAAGGAGGAGTCAATCAATGGGGCAAACTTCCTTGTCTTATTTTAAGAAATTGCCACGGCCACTCCAGCCTTCAGCAACCACTACCCTGATGAGTCAACAGCCGGCAACCTGGAGGCAAGACCCTCCATCAGCAAAAAGATTGAGACTTGCTGAAGGCTCAGATGACGGTTAACACTTTTTAGCAATAAGGTATTTTTAAATTGAGGTAGGGACCATTTTTAGACATGATACTGTTGCATTTAATAGACTACAGCACAGTGTAAACAGAACTTTTACATGCACTGCAAAACCACAAAATGTGTGTGACTCACTCTATTATGATATGTGCTTTACTGCAGTGGTCTGGAATGGAAATCACTGTATCTCCAAGGTATGTCTGTATTTTCTATTTATCCTGTATGTAGCCTGTTTGCACATATTTATTTGCAGGTTGTTTCCTGTTAGATTGTGAGCTCCTTGATGGCAGGGACTGTCTTTTGCCTCTGTATTCCAGGCATTTAGCACAGTGTCTGGCATATAGCGCTTAATAAATTTTTACTGGCTGATGATTGACTGATTAACTGGATCTCCTGGCTCCATCATCAGGGTGCCGTTCCCTCCCCCAATACTCTGCTCTTTCTCTTTCCACCTCACTGCAGCCTCAGGCCAGCGCCAGCTTCTCTGTAGGATCAAGCCCTCCAACTGGAAGAGGCCCAAGAGGACTAGTCAATCCCTCCCATTTTATCAGTGAGGAAACTGAGGCCCAGAGTCACTCAAACATAAGTGACTGCAATTTGAACTCAAGTCCTCTGACCCCGAATCCAGCACTCATTTTTCGTGAAGGTGTCATCTCGGAGGGACTACTCAGAAGAGATTCTTGGCTATAACAATGCCCAATTATCAGGCTCTTACAGTTTTCTTAACTCCCTTCCTAAACCGATGCTTTGCCCGAGCTGGTTGCCATGGAAGAAGGGCCATGCCAGAAGAGAGGGCTCTTTTTAGCAGTGGGAGAAAACGTAGTGAGGCATGCAACAGGCCGGAAAGCTGGGACCACTTTTAAGACGCATTAGTCCCTTCCCTGAGGCTGTAATAACCAGAACTGCTTTCCTTGTGAGAGAGGGTGAAGCAAGTGAGAGCGAACAGCTGAGGCCCAAGGGGGCAATTTTCCACCGTGCTTCTGGAAATCCCAGGCAGGAAAGCTTCAGGGGTGGGGGTGCAGGATCTGAGAAGTAGGCAGATTAGCGGGGCTATTTGCATTTGCTGCAATTTATCGATTTTCCAGTCCATATATAGCCTCTGAGTCTTGCCTCCTCCCTACCCACTAATGGAGGGGCCAATGGCTTCCAAAGCGCTTTGTGACTTACGTCTAACACCCAGGCTTCCCCAGAAGGGTAAAATTTGTCCCTGGCACCCCACAATGGAGCGGCCTTTTTGTGCTGGGGCCGGCCCGGGCCCCCTCCCTGCCCCTCTGCTCTGGGCACCCTCCCCCTCCCACTGTCCATGTCGCTCTGCATCACTCTGCTCAGGCAATCCCTATCTATTTCTGCCCAAGCTGACTCCATGGAGCTGTTTGTTTTTAGCACAGTCTAGTTTATTTACGGCTCGTTCCAGCTCGGAATATTTCCACCAGGTGGACACGGTTGAAAACAAGGCTGCCCTGTCAAGTGAGCTCAGAGCTTCGAGTGGATTCTGTCTGCAGGGGATCCTGTGGGCCTCTCCCTAGCCCCTGCTGCCTGCTGGTCCCAGTCCAGAGCCTCGGAATTCTGGCTACCAGGAGCCATCAGATATTCCATGCTGTCACGGGAACAATGGCGTGTCTCTCTGTGGCATGGATCCCAGATTTAGCCCTACCCAAGAGGCCATCCAGTCCAACCACTCCATTTGACAGATGAGCAAACTCAGGCAGGCTGCCGTTAAATGACTTGCTCAAGGACCCACAGGTAGGGATTGAAACCAGAGATCACAAGAAAAAATAAGAAACCAGGTCTTTAGACCCCAAACCCAGGAGTTTTCCTACCACACCATGCTGTTTTCACACTGTCTCCCCATTCAAGTATTCTCTGTCCCAGATAGCATACCTGCTCCCCCTCCAAGCTCAAATTGGGGGGAGGAGTTAGAATTGCTCAGTATGCCTCAAAGTTCCTGAAATTCCCTGACAAAATGGTTAGAAATAACAGTGATTCCGATTCTAGGTTGACCAAATGCCTTTGCTCCTTGGGTATGCCAACAGTTTTTAAGAACCCTTCCCACTGTACAGCATGCAGTAGGAGAAACTGAGGAACAGGTTAGTGAAATGATCCAGTACAAATCACTGTAGGAAAAACAGGAGACTGGATGAAAGATGAGGGGAATCCGAGTGAATGGATCCACTCAACCTTTTCTGGTCCTCTGTTTTCACTTGTAGAACAAGAGCTTTAAAGAAGAAGCTCCTTCCTAAGCCCAAAGGCTTCTGGCTGTATGAATGCAAACCCTGGACCATCTAGAGTCGCTAGTATGCAAATCTCGAATTAGTCACATCCATAATTTCCTACAGCTAACGATTTCTAGTTCTGCTCTTGCTCCAGCAAAGGTAACAATGAGAAAGTAGGAGCCACCGAAAGAGGAAATAGAGACTGAAAACTGGTAGGGAGACTACAGATGCCACTGATTCCAGGCTTCATCATCATCACCTTTGCTTTGGGGACTCCGTTTGCACATGGGTGCAAAGATGCTCACGTGTGGGCAAGTGAAGGGAAAAAAAAAGGGATGCTCAAATCAACCAACCTTATTCTATAGTAACCACGCCAGAAAAGGCGAAAGTTTGGGCTCAAACAGTGGAGGGAGTTACAGATTTCCCTAAAGTCCCCTTCACTCTACAGCTGGCCTGATTTTCTCTGGCTCCCCCCCTGCACCAGCTCCAGTCAGAGAAGCATTTCCACTTCAGAGAAAGGCATGACTGATCGGCTCAGAAGATTCGCTGAGTTTCCTCAGGCTGCTGGTGCCTGCCCTTGCAAAAGTTGATTTCTCCAGGATTTGTTTTGGGAAATACATGACAGCTAAGGGAATGTATGTTTAAGGGATCAGAAGGACACGCAGCAACGCAAGCAGTCAGCTTGCATGTTTGCCCTCTTCCCAGGTGGGTCTCATGCTTAGAAACCAGATAGGTTGCAGAAATGAGAAGACAGGACTCAGCTGGCTGCAGCCTGGTACCCCACTATCACCTAGGCAGCTCCATATAGGGAGCCTGGGAAGGAGGAGGGCTGGGTCCCTGTGCAACCTTGGGCAAGTGACTTAACATCTCTGAGCTTCCTAGGGGAAGAGGCTGGATCGGAGACATGGAAGAGGGGCTGGACTGCGTGGCTGCTGAGATGGCATCCAGCCCTAGCCTAATGCTGCTGCTATGCTCCTGTGATCTCTGAGGACTCTCTGAGCACTTATATTCTACAGTTCTATGATGATCTACCTGCTGCAAAGACAGCTAAAAGGAGAAAGGCCAAGTCAGCCACTTAGAGCCAAACGTGAAGAAGTCCAAGCAAGCATCAGGAAGCACACACAAATGCATACACCTGCCAGGGACACACACACACACACACACACACACACACACACACACATCCAGTCCCCATATTAGCTGCACAACCTAGTGCCTGAAGATTTTTTATAAAGCCCTCTGCAAAAGCTGTAAGAACACCACAGATTTCCCAGAGGATCTGTCTCTTTTCGGTTGATTGTTTTTCCAAGAAACCACAGACACTTTCATTCCCTCCCTCCTTTCCTCTTCCCTCCCTCCTTCAACTCACCCATACAGGTGGAGTAATAGAGCAGCCCCGAGATGGTGAAGAGATGCGAAGGCCTGAAGGATGGGCTGGCCATAGTGGACCCCAGCAACTCAGGCTGGCCCAGGTCAGGAGGAGGAGTGGAGGTGCAGCTTGGGATCAGAAGCCCTGCTCTCTGCCTGCCCCCTGAGCCCGCAGCATGTGCTGTGTGCCGGGAGCCGCCTCCCTTGGCCAATGAGAGCTTTAAATATCTCTCGCTGTCCAGCTGCCCCAGAGGCCAATGGTCCAGGGGCCAGCCCAGAGCTGTCTCTCCCCAGCATGAATGGGCAGGCAGCCTGTCCTGGTGGTGAATGAACCAGGGGGCGGGGCGGCAGCCAGAGGGACCGGAGAAGAGTTCCCCCCTTCCCCCAGAAGTGAAGGCCAAGTTAGCCTGACCGCTGGGAAAGCAGACACCACCAGAGTGGGAGGGCCGCTACCCTGAAGGGCTTTTCACTTGCTGTGAGAACTCAGCAGGGCCAATGCCGATCTCCCGGCCCTCCGAGCCCAATTCCCATGACCATCTCTGGAAAGAACTTCACCAATCTCATCTTAATTAAGGCCTGGATATTAACGCTCTTTCTGTGGCACCTGAGTTTGGGCTCAGTTACATTTCATGAAACTCAATTCAATCAAATAACCCAAAAGAAGTAATAACAATGGCAGCTAACATTTACATACTGCCTGAAGGCTTGCAAATCACTTTCTAGACATTATTACTCCCAGTGATACAGCTAGCATTTCTATAGTGCCTTTAGGCTTACAAAGGACTTTTAAAATATCTTATCCTATTTGATCTTCATAACAACCTCATAAAGTAGGTACTTGTATCTCTATTTTACAGACCCCGTGGGCTAGAGGGGTTAAGTGACTTGCCTAGGGTCACACAGCCAGTGTCTGAGGCAGAATGTGAACTCAGATCTTCCTGACTCCAGGCCCAAATCTGGCTCCAGTCCATTGTTTCAAGCTTCCCTTTGTCCCTCTGGACACACTCTGTGTCCGCCTGGGATGCCCTCCCCCTTGCCTCTCCCTCTGGACTTCCTTCAGGGCTCAACTCAGAAGCCACCTCCAGTGACTAGTTTCCTCCTCCACCTCCAAGTCGCCTGTATTTACTTGTTTGGGTCCATGTCTTATGTCCCCTGCATGAGGTAGTTTCATTTTGTCCTTTTTATCTCACGACCCAGCATAGTGCATGGCACATCCTCCTGTAGGGTGCTTGATAAATATTCACTGGATCAGCCTGCATTTCATCTGATCCTGTCAACAGGATCAGCCTTGTGAGACAGATGTTATTATCCTCATTTTACAGATGAAAAATTGGAGAGTCAGGGATAATGGTCACAGGGTTTACAGTCTGTGTTAGAGTCAGGATTTGAACTCAGGTATGTCTCAACTCCACAGCACTGGGTCAGAGATTAGAGCTAGACGAGACCTTCCCCTTTTTCCTTTCCCTCTCCCCATTTTATAGAAGGGGAACACTGAGGCCTAGACAGGGTGATTTGCTCCAAATCATGCAAGTGACAGTAAGTGGCAGTGTTAGGATTTGAACCTACAACTTCTAATTTCAAACCCAGCACTTTCCCCCCAAACACCACCGTCCCATGCTCTTTTCCTTTATGGATGAGAAGTGACCATAAAGGAATGAGACTGTTTCTCCAAGCCACAGGTGAACATCAGTTCCCTTGTTTTCTGGTCATGCATTGGCTAATCGAATTAGGAAAAATAATCTGCATTATAAAATACATAGCTCAGTGATTGTTAAGCACAATTATTTCAGACTGGCCAGTAAGTAGTACAAGATGTATTATGTATTATACAAAAGAACTGTTCTTAAACCCATTTAGAAAAGAGCAATTTAAAAAAAAAGGACTCTGCTCTATGCTTAGAGACATATGTTTCTTTGGTCTTCCCCCCCCCCAAAAAAAAAGAACTCCATCATGAACTTTCTTAGAGATCAGAGAAAATGGGAGTGGGACAATGAAGACCTCATTCCACTTTCAGTGATGACTGCTGAAAAATTAGCTATGTTACCTTTCCTGAAACTGTCCTGTGGTGGTTCTTGTTAACCTACCTCTTGGGTCTGCAGTCCTCAACTTTATTGGACAAGTCATCATGATTCTTTCCTGACTAACTCATCACCACCACCACCACCACCACCATCATCATCACCATCATCATCGTCATCATCTACATCATCGTCAGCACCAACACCAGACAGAACAGTTAAGACCCTGGCTACTTGGAGATGACAAATGATGCGTCATTTTGGATCATTAACGTTTCCAAACAGCCAAGAATCTATGCCCCCCCCCCTTAAATACCCCAACTTCTGTTTTAATCCTTTTGCATAGAAATCTTTCCAAAATACATTCTAGACATCTCTGCCTAATTAAGGTGAATATGTTGAACATTAGGGTAATTTTTGGTTTGTTTTTTTAATTAGGCAGTAGGATTAGATGACTGCTCAGGTATCCTTCAGCTCTAAAATTCCCCAAATCTACAACTGTGCCTTCTCTCAATGTTTCATCATTAGGAACATTCATTATTACTCTGTGATACTCTTGGGGCTTATTGAGTGAGGTTCATGGCGGTATTTGCTCATATACTAAATGGCTCCAGACTGCTATGTCTTTTGCTTTTTATATTTTAATTTATTTATTACATTTTAATATATAATTAATATATTTAATTTAAATTATATTTATATTTTATATTTTAAAAATATATTTTCTTACTTCCCTCTTGCTGTCCTTGTTCCCTGCTGTCTACCTTCCTTACTGGGGTCGCTGTGCTGCCTGAGAGCAGACACTCTCTCTGCTTACTATTTGCTTCTTTTGATCAGTTCTGGACTGAGAAAACATACTAGGTTTGATAGAATTGTGCGCAGGGTAAGAGTATACTGGTTCTTGGAGACTTTCACTGTGAGGAAGCGCTTTGGAAAACCAACAAGAAGCCTCATGGACCCTCCAGACCAAGGGATGTCTGGGCTTTCATTGTCTCAGCCATAGCGGTGACTCTCCGGGCTGGACAGATGTGTGGCTAAATGAATGTCACAGTCATAGAGTTCTTGGAGGTTTTTGAAGGCCCTTCCACTGTAGCCCTGGTTCCTTCTATGATACCGGCCCGCCTTCACAAGAAAGAACAAAAATAAACCCCAAGCTCTGAGGCTCATGGACAGAGGCTGACTCCACATCTCCTCTCTGGAGTTTATAGGTTTTAGTAACACAGTGTGAGGAGCCCTGGATTTGGAGTGCAAGGTTAGAATGCTGCTGCTTCTCCTTACCAGCAGTGTGACCCTGGGCAAGTCACTTGCCTTCCTAGGGCTCAGTTTCCTCATCTGTAAGATCAGAAGATGGCCTCTATGCTGCTTACATCTGTGATCCAACTACTTTACAACTCATCCAGAACAACCTTGTCATTTCACAGATAAGGAAAATGGAGATTCAGAGAAATGAAGGTGTCCATAACAGACAGAGTCCTGGACTTGGACCCAGGAAGCCCTGAGCTTCAAATCCTAGCTGTGTGGCCTTGGGTAAACCACTTCACTGCTCTGAGCCTCAGTTTCCTCATCTGTAAAATGGGCATAATAGTATTTATCTCAAAAATTAGCCAATCTACAAGCATTTATTAAGCACCTACTCTGTACTAGATGCCGTGTTAGATACTAGGGATGCAAGTACAAAGAATAAAATAATCCCTACTATCAAGAAATTCACATTCTAATGGGGTAGATAACAAGCACACATATTAATGTAAACATAATAAACATAAAGTGAACAAATATATATCAATACATACAAAGTAGTTAAATACAAGGTGGATGGGGTGGGGGAGGAAGACAAAGAAAAGTTTCCTTTCAGAAAATAGACTGGAGGGCAGGCTAGATTGAGACATTTTCTGGACACAGCCAATATGGGAATTTGCTTTGCTTATCTATATATGTTTCTAAGGGGTTTTATTTTTCTTTCTTGCTTTTGTAATGAGGAGTCAAGGGAGAGAAAGCAGATTTTTGCTTATAGAAAAAATATATTTTAAATTAAAAAAAAGATGTAGCACCTGATTGGCTCTCTGGGGCATGGAGAGTACGATGAGGTTGTGAGCCTGGGAGGCTGGAAGGATGGTGGTACCTTTGACAGACACAGGGAAGTTTGGAGTCAGGGAGGGTTCGGAGGGAAAACTGAGTTAATGAATTTGGTTTTGGGTGGGTTGAGTTTTGGATGCCTCTGGGACATCCAGTTTGAAATGTCCAATAAGAAAGGATAAAACAAGCATTTATTAAGTGCCTACTATGTGCTGGTCATGCTAAGAGTATCTGTAAAACACTTTACAAACCTGAAATCTTTACATAAACAATTATTATTCAGGGCTGAAGAGGCCTGGAGGAGCTGAGCTGGGATTCAAGTCCATGTCTTCTGCCTCTAGACCTAGGGAGGGGCTCTTTCCACCTGACCTCACGGCCTCTCCTCCTAGCTTATGAGTCAGCCCTAGAATTCAGGGAACAAACAGCCTGGAGCCTAAGACACAAGAGCCCTCACAGTCTTTTTATTCATCGGCACCCTCTGATTGCCTGGCTCAGGCAGGTGGACAGCTGAGGGAGCAAAGGTCAAAAGGCTCTGGGCTCCTTGATCCCTTCTATTAAGTTCAAGACATAGCTGCGCCATGACATCCCAGAGGCTGGAATCCAGCTCTTTGTTTCTCCCTGCCCTTGCCTGAGCTCTGTCAATTAGCCAGCTCCTTATTCACAGCTCCCAAGACTCTTCCTTCATTTGGCTGTTTGTAATATCACAGGCTATACATAAGCAAATTACCCGGCCTGACAAGCTGCACGAAAAATCCTCTTCAAGGACCAACAGGGACTGGAGAGGGGGAATGAAAGACGAGGTGCCTGCATTCTGTCACATTCCCCCGTTTTGGAAAGTCCCAGCTGGCCCTGCACAGAGTTGCTGGGCCTGCTCTCTTTTAATCTTTCCTAATCCTGGGTAGCCTTTTAGCCCAGCATCGCCAGTCACCCAGTGTGCCTGCAGGCCCACGCAGCTGGGAGCTCAGTCCTTCTCAAGGGCAGGGTCTTTGGCACAGTGTGCCCCACACATGGTGCAGGCGTGCCACACAGCTTTCTATAACACTTGAAGGTTTACAAAACCAAAGATTGCACACTCCTTCCAAAGGGGGCAGTCCCTTGTATGAACTCGTGTGAACTTGTGCAGAGGTCAGCAGAAGGGAGACAACCGTTTACAAAATAATAACAGCACTGTAAAGACCCAGGCAATGACTGAGTACAACTGGGGGGTCCAGGATGATGCCTACTGCTCACATCCTGCCTGAGAGATGATGAGTCCAAGAAGCA